ATCTGGAATGAGAGAAATAAATAATTTTTTGCACATGAAACTATCAGGAATTTTTAAGATGTTGATTCTGTTACATTTATTCAGATATATTTATTTGAGAATTTCTTTTTTTATAGTAGAAGTTCTTTTAATGTTATGTTTTTAATAACCCCTCAAAGCACGAACATATTCATTTATTGTCTTTCTTTAATTATTTCTAATTAAAAATCTTTATTGGATTTATCCCGCCATAAAATACTGCACTTTTTTTATCATCAGTGTTCATACATTACCTTTGGAGTTATACTAAAACATGCACAGATCTGAAAAAAATTAACAGACCACTTAAAATGACCAGTTTCTCTGATTTTACTTTTTATAGGTATAAGTTTGAGTAAAATGAACATTTTTCTTTTATTCTATGAACTACTGATAACATCTCCAATATTCCAAGTAAAAAATTAATATTTATTTGCAGAAAATGAGAAATGATCAAAATAATGCAAAGAAAACAAGTTCATATTCATTTAGAAACAACAATACTAATGTTTTAACTCAGGAAAAGTTGAGAAATCAATATTTCATGAAGTCTCCAACGGAGTTCAGTGTAGTGGACTCTTTGTTTTTTGCAGAGCTGTGTGTTCCTTAGACAAAAAATTAAGAATTGGGCCAAAATCAGCAGGTCAGACTTTAAAGAGTACTGGAAATCGGTGCAAATTGTTGATTGTTCCTGAAGCCTGAAAAATGAAAAACAGGAGAAACAAAATAAACCCCTGCAATAAAAACTAAACCTGGATTTTATTCAATATTTTCCATTTACTTTGCCAACTTAAAATACTTGGCATTTTATGCGTAAATCCCTTCATTTTACAGGAATATTCTCTCTGTATTCCATGAGTGTGAACTCTCTACTCACGCACCCACAGAAGAGCTAAAAAGGACAGAATCAGAGACATGAAATGGCAGAGTGGGTTTGTAAATGGCAGAAAATCCTGAGGGCAGAGGGATTCAGCCGTTCCTCCTCTGTCTGTCTGTCTATTATTGATGTACATGGAGGGTTTCCTCTCTACCATCTGCTCCCAGCGCTCCCACTCAATGCCCCATTGCTTCATGGATCCCATTTTATCAGGCTGGCAGGACCAGAGCAATGCTGCCTTATCAGCATGTTAATATTTCATAAAAATGAGAGAACGAGAGGAGGGTGCAGGAATTGAAAAGTTGGGAGACAAAAAGATTAATCTTTTATTAACTGTACCATTTTTTTCAATTGCTCCCTATGAATCCATTGATTTGTGTTTGAAAAAGAAATCATGTGATGACTGCATCGGGTTTTGTTTAGCTGGTATTGTATTTTCATTGAAGTTCTCCGTTCCTAATCAGATCCCAGCCACACCCTGACGCCCAGCTGCAGCTTCGTTGTGATCTGAGCCGTAATTTGTGACGATGCATATTCAGTCAATCCCTGGTTGCCACGGTGAGCCGCTAGCTGCAGGTCGCTTTATTGGCTGCAGGGTGGTCACATGTGGCGTGGGCCTGGTACCCAGCTGAGGTGGTGGTCCGCTTGACCAGACATTAAAAAAAAAAAAAAAAGGTTGGCGGGTTTTTCCATTTGGCTTCACTTCGCTGTAAAAGCCCTTCCTAGGCATGAAGTCTGACATGGAAATTGGTTTTGGGTTCAGAACTCATTGGTGGAGGCGCAGGCCTGGATAGAGGATCTGTGTAGTATAATGGTTCGGGGCGAGAGCTACTTAAGTTATCACGCTATTGTGTGACTTGTCTTTCCCTTATTCCTAATGAGGTTAGAGATGCTTCTGTTTTCTCCGGCGAGCCCCGAGTTAAGAGTCCCAGGGGAGAAAGAGATAAGAAGGAAACTAATAATGTGCAGAGATCCGAAGGCTCGGACCGCATCAAAGGATCAGATTAGGTAGGGAGGGGGGGAAACAGAAAACAAGGACCTTAAGAAGAAAGAGCAATCAAACAGATAGACCACCTCAGAGGAGAGAGCAGAGGCACGAGGAAACACGACCGAGACGGCGGAGGTTCTACTGACTTCCTGTTCTGGATGAGAACGGGAAAAGAAAACCATCAGTTTGTTCATTTGTCCAACAATTAGTTTATTTGTTGAACCAACAAATCATTAGTTTGTCCACTTGGCTTTATATTTTCCTTTTCATTCATTCATTCATTTGTCCATCCATCTATTAATTTATCCATTTGTTCATTTTTCTATTCATCCATCTATTTGTCCGTCCTTCTGTTCATGTATCTATTCACCCGTTAATCTCTGTATCCATCCATTCACTTGTCCATTAATCCGTCTGTTAGTTTGTTTATCCAGCTACTCATTCACTTGTCCATCTATTCATTTGTTCATTTTCCCTTCCACCCATTAATTCATGTATTAATTTGTCCAGTCATGTGTCGAGTCAAGGTGTTGCACATTTTAAAGGATGCTTCACTCTCTCCGTTTCTCCAGACTTTCTGCCAGCTCACATAATCAAATTAAGAAAACTGAGTGCACGGCATATTTGAGGCTTCAAGCTCTCATGCGCTGCCAACACCTCAAGTCTAGCAATGTGTCCAACTTCCCCGTCTCATCTGCGTCCAGGTCACGTGGCAGAAACAGTCCCTACAGCTACTAATTGTGAAACAGTCTTCAAGAGCAAACCCCTGATGTTGAGGAAAGTTAACTTGAGCTTGGCTTCGCCCTGTAATGTGTGAACGTTACGCTAACGTGCGGCGCTGGCGCGCTGCAGTCTGGTCTTGGCAGGCTGCGCTCCTCCTGTGACCTATCTGGGAGGAAGCCAGTGGCTTGGCCATCCTTTGAAATGGGACCAACCTGAGCTGAAGGCAGCTGTGTTTAGAAAGAGCCATCCCAGCTGATCACACCAGGCCATGTTTAATTATTAATAGCTCTTAAAAGCTGGCGTTCGCTGCCATCTGATGGTTTCTTTGACGTTTTATATTTGCTGCCTTTTGGTTGATGTGATCTGTGTTTTGTTTAATTCAGAAAATGGAAGCTAATTCAGACTTTTTGAGCTAATAAAGTCAGTGGGGCAGCGACACCATATGTGATCTCTTTATGCAGCAGGGCAGAGAGCCACAGGGAGCATGATGGATGCATCCCTGTGTTTTCTTACACATCCTGATCATCTTTTCTCCCTCTGTGTGGCTTACAGACTCTGTACAACTCCCCCCGATTAAATAAATGTTCGGCAACACTTTGTTTTAAGGAGTGTGCATAAGACTGACATGAACATGAAGGAGTCATCATAAATGTCTATAACCATTGTCATGAAGTGTTATTTGGTAAATAATCCATCCATCTATTTCTGTGGTAAACAAACGTTTTGAAATTTGTAACTATTTCAACACCGTGATAAACTTGTCGCTCCATGTAAAGAAAAGTTATCCCACAGCATGATACTTTCACCGCCATGTTTCAATGTGGGTATAATGTTTCTTATATGTTCTGCTGAGTTCAGGATTGATTTCATAAAAATGTACCACATTCTCTCTTAGGGTTTGAATTTGGGTCTGGGTGTTTTTTGTTTCTTAGCAGTACGAGCTTCTTTAGATGAAGAATACTTTAAGTTCCTTTCCTTTTTACAAGATGTCTTATATTAAAAGTGGAAATATAGAGATTATCTATCATTGTGTACTTTCAATCTGAATGATCTAATTGTATATTTACTTTGCATTGGACCCGTTATATCAGCAACTTCAAGAAACAAAACCCTCATTAGTCTTTTGAGCAAATATCCTCTGTAATTCACCACTTAAATGTAAATGAAGACGATGAACAAACGCTCAGTGTAATCCCTGGTCTGGCTGATTACATTAAACTCCGTGAATGGAGAGAGTTTAAGGTTTTGGTCAACAGCTCTTCTATAGAAGTGCTTCACGGTCCTAAAGTGCCAGCCTCCTATTCAGGAGAGTCATTAGCACAGGCTCAACTGGAATAATGAACACCGCGGGTGCCATGTTGTCGCATTGTGTGCTTAGAGAAGAGGGACTCTGACGAGAGGTTGTGGATGACACACCTGCCTCCAAAGAGGGGCTGAGATAACAACTTTATCCTTCCTGTCAGGGAGACATCTGGCTTTGCCATGGTGTTGCAACCTGAAACACACCCAGGAGTGGGTAATGAGGCATAGGAGACGAGGTTTGGGTTGTGTGTTGTTGCATTTGTGTGTGCGATTTCTTGCATTAGCCTGCAAGCGTGCCATCTGCAGCACTCAACCACAAACCCGGCTCTGTGTGACACAAAAGCGGTAATAAATCTTTACAAGGATAAAATGAACCTTTTTATACCAAAACTGACTTTAAAATGATGGTTAAAAAAAAATATATATAAATTTAAGTAGCCTGTTTATAGGGTTTTATCTCCAAGATTACCATTTGTGTCAAACTGAAGGACCGTGGGCCAAATCCGGCCCGCCACAGCTTTTTATGTGTCCGTCTAGATTAAATGGCTTAAATATTATTTTATCAGTCAAATAAATGCAGTTTTTATTTGTTTACTGCCAAATTATATCAATCAGGATGTAATAATTAAGCTCAAATATTACAAATTTTCCAAATTAGTACCACAAATACTTTGATTTTTATTGGAAAAAAAATCACAAAATCCTGGAGGGACTCAAATGAGTTCAATAATATTTAATTTTAAGAATTTATTGATATCTTAACAGTTTGTGAACAGGTTTTATCAATACATTCTGGCACAACCGGCCCTTTAAGAGCATTCAGGATCTTGATTTGACACAAAGCGAAAATGAGTTTGACCCCCTGGTTTAGAGAGAGGCATTTAGATCTTCATCTCATTTCAATGCACTCTTAATTAAATGGCTCATTGGCAGCATCTAGTTAATATTAAGTAACGCAAGTTCAGAAAAAAATCAACAAGCAGCTTTACTTTCCTGAACACATTTCCTGCTTAGCTCTTCTTACTGTAAAGTCATAAAAAATAGACAAATGAATGTTTTATTAACTGTTTTCCTGCTTTTTGTGTGTTTCAGGTGATCTCTGCCCTGTCGAGGATCTCCCACCACAGCATTGCACAAATCAAAGGCATCAGGTAAGCGTGCAACACACAAATCCCTCACTTATTGCTTCAGCCACTGAAAAAAGCCACTTTGAAACAGCTCACCCTTATTTTCTTCACAGGCACTGTATTGAAATGGATGATGCTTTAACATCTGCTGCTCATTTGAAAGTCAATTTACATTTTAGGCAATTAGCAGCAGCTTTTCGCCGGCGTTATCTTTCAGGGGAAGAAATCCTCCACAATGCTGTTCCGTCTGTCACTCAAATGCGTCGTTCTGAGTCAGATCCTTTATTAAATGAAGAGTAGTCATTTTTCTTCAAGGCTAAGGGACTCTCTATCTTTGGCCTTCTGATCTCTTCATTCGCTCAGTCTGCTTGGAGCTTGGTGGCTCACAGGCGCCACGTGAAAAGCCATTTCATCTGGCTTAGTGATAAGTTGGTGGCGTTCACCCATTAGGAGCTGCGCCAGGAAATGAAAAGAGGGGAGAAAGAAGTGGGCAAAAGAGGAGGCATGTCCCCTGTTATTAATAAAGACAAACAAAGCTGTGTTTGTAACAATGCAGCAGAGAGTCAAAATCAATATCGGTTTGTGAACAGTGAGAAGTTAAGTCCAAGCTTTTTACCAGTGCAGCACATACAACAAGCATAATTGATTTTGTGTTATATTCAATAAATAACAATTAACAACAGCAACAAAACAGTGAAGGTAAAAGAAATGATAACCTGCAGAGCAGAGATCATCATGCTAAACTTGACAAAGAAATCCTCATGTAATTTTATACTTTCTGTTTTTAATACAATTTAAAACAAAGCAATATCCCTTTAAATAATTTAAACTTTGTGATTGTTAAACCTTTGGGCCCGACACGGAGCTTTGAGCTTACAGCAGGGTTAACGGTAAAGTAAGGTGATTTTAATTAGATTAGTGCTTTACATGAATTAGAAGGAAATACAAACAAAACAACAAACCAAAAGAAAGACAAAAAGGAAGAGATACCACATATTTATTTTAATAAAACAGATTGAAAGCTGTTGATAAAATGTGAAAAATTTGAAGAATTCAAAAACACTTTTCTTGTAAAAAAAAGAGAGCAAGTTTGCATCAGCATTGACCTGACTGAGCCTCGCTCGTCTTCCGGAATAAAACCAACATTTTGCACACAGATTTCACATTCAAATCGTTGTCGGTTGCCATGGCAATCATTTTTTGGTCACCCACCTTGTGAATACAGATGAATCCTGTGGCTGGATCTGCACCACGAGTGTCATCATGGTTATTCAGAGAGCCTGTCCTTCTGAGAAACAGAACAAAGTTCCTAGAAGTTTCCTGCCAGGTAACTTCTTTTACAAAGTGGTTTCTGAAAAAGTTGCTGGTTATTGCAGCAGAATCATTGTGTTGGCGCTGCTGCACCAATAAGCCCACCTGCAGGTCAGGATCGTGTCCTGATTTGATCCACATCGCTAGAGATTTGGGAACTGATGCCATGTGTGTGTGAAGGCTTTGTCACTCAGAACAGAGCTGTATATAAATGTGACTGTTGATATTTCTGTATTAAATTTAAGATTAATGTCAATTGTGGCAGTCCAAATAATCAGAGAGTTGATTTATAATATTAATATCCAAAGGCAACAATAGATCAAAACGGGTTTTATTCACTGTGATCACGTGTGTAACAAGGCCTGAACAACAACGCAAAGCAGAAGTCTATTATTTGGTTCACTGAGACAAATCCTAGGGGAAGATCTGTTTGCATAATACGGTTTTCTTGGCCAAAATGAATGTGCCAAACGCTGGTAGCCGTGTGGTCTGCTTTGTACTTGGAGTACACAAATCACGTTGCCCCCGCCCACACTTATTGGCAACCCTGGGAGCGCTGTGGGGAAAAAAGCGCTTCAGAACAAATTACTTTTTATTGCAGCAGCGTAATCTCACACAGAAACATCTGCAACCTTTTCCTCGAGTGCTTTTATTTAACTTGGGGGGGAATCCACAGGTCTCACAGTTACTTGCACATATAAACATTCTTCAAAAACACTGCAACCAAAGTTTTTTCTATTAATGCTAACCGCAGAGCTGAAGTCAGAGTAATTTATACAAAGTTGGAAACGACTGAACCTCCGACGAATTGCAACTAAGATTGAGCTTTTCAGCAGATAAACACTGCAGTGGGTTCAGTGTAAAATAAAGGAAAAATATACATAAAAACACCTAATGACTGCGTTTAAGTACAGTGGAGAGTCTGTGATGCTGTGGGCCAGTTTCTCCACCAAGATCCATAGAAACCTGGTTGGAGTCCATGAAATGATGATCTCCTTAGAAAGGGAACTTTTCAAAAATAATGAAGACATGTGCGCAAATCAACAGAGCTCTTCTAAACTCTCAAACTCACCTCAAATAGTCATGTTGGATTTGTCACATTAAAGCACAAATGTGCGGCACTCAAGATTTAACCATAATCAGTATAATAATAATCATGATTACCTTGCCTTCAACAGTTACCTTTAGTCATCGTGTTTCATTTCTTGGTTCTATTTTATTTCAGTTTTATTTTTCCATTTTAAGATGTTAAATAATGCAAAGTAAGCAGAGCATTTTAACGACTCGTTCTTTTTTCCCCCAAAGTCATTTAAAAGATGTTCTCCATCTCTCCAGGTCAAACATTGACCCAAACCTCTTGAATCTTTACGTCCAGAGCAGACAGCAAGTCTTGTGTTTAAAAATCGGTGGATGAAATCACTTCAGGCGTGACGATTGATCCGTCTGCTGGCTGCTGTTGGGCCTCGTTAGCGCGCTGCAGCTCATCTCTGTGACGTTGGCCTTTAATTGCTTCAGTATTTGCTAAATTTTAAACGGTTCTGACTTTACAACATCCCTAATTTAGTGCAGATGAATCCGAAGAGAAGAGATTTTGAAAAGTCTGAGTCGTATCTTGTGGGGCTTTGGGTTGTTCAGTGATGCAACAATCTCATAAAAAGATACAGTCATCACCCTTTTAATTAATAACATTTTACCACGTTTGGCAAACTGATTATTTAAATTATTCCAAAGGTTTTTCCCTGTAGCTCGTTATTCGCTTAACATCCCTATAACCTTGGTTTTCGGCCCTCTGGTTGTGCTTTGAGTCGACCTCCTGTTTATCCGTCTCACCCACAGTATAAGCCTGTGTCACTTATTATTCATCCTCTTTCCTGCTGATCATCTTTTCTGTCCTCAGCGAACCCCTCTGTAACCCTGCCCTGCATGTTCGCTGATCCCTGCTGTTTCCTCGTGTGTTCGGGGCTCTGAACTCTGACCTCAGCTTTAGCATCATGCTACAGGACACCTGAGGGGTTTGTGGTGCTCAAGGTGTCACAAGCACAAAGTTCAAATGTCAACAAATGTGACTTGGATTGCTGACGCCACAACCTCGCTCGTCTGGAGAGAAAAAATAATAATCTTGCAATGATGTGACTTGTGGTGAATCCATTGGAAAAGAAACATTTTAATGAAAATTTGCAGGGTGTGGCTGCTGACTGAACAGCAATAAGCTACAGCTTATCCAAAGATTTAAGAGGAAAATACTTAACAGTCAAGCATTAATGAAGCAATGAAGAACATTGTTGGTGCTCTGTGGTGACCACTAGAGGGAGCAGTTAAAACAAGATGAAGAACAGGAACATGAAGAATCATAAGACCAAAAAAAGGGAGTACGACAAAGGTAAATGAGACTAAGATAAAGTCAAAATGACAAAGACCAAGATGAAAAACACTAAGATGACCAAGTAGAAGAAGACCTAGATGGATAAGACCAAGATTAAGACACAAAACATGAGCAGGACCAGCAGGACCAGGAGCTGGACGAGGAAAGACAGATCAGGAGGAAGAGGACCAAGACTAGAAGTAGGACGACTGAAGATGAAGATGAAGATGAAGTCCAAGATTAAGAAGGTCAGCTGTTGAGGATTTCCCTGGTTATTAATGACCAAAAGCAGAAAGAAGCACCAAGTGTCTCTTTATTGTTGAAAATGACCAAGCCAAGTCCTCCACAATGTACTGATCTGCACCTTTAAAGGTTTAATAATCTGTAGGCAGATCTGATTCATCTTCAGTGTTGAAAGAGCTGAAGCAAAACAACCAAAGCAATCGCCTTTTCAGATTCGTACCACATAAAGGTGCTAAAATGTTCCCTCTGATAAACTGATTTTAAAGTGTGACGTATGAGAGACGCGTTTCTATCAAAACACATTCACCCACAGGCTGGCTTTTAGAAAACAATTCAGTCTTCATCAACTTCTAAGAAATGTAAGCAACAGCAAAATGGAAAATCTATTTCATAAAGCTCAAAAGTATAAAAACAGCTAATCTGTAAAGAAAACATGCAACTCTACCTGTTGGATTCAGAGCTGAAGTCCTTCAAAACTAAAATAAAATTGTTTACCTCTAAATAGTCAGTAAATTGTAAAATTTACCAGAAATTTCTCTTTGGAGTATAAAAGTTGTTTTAGCTGCACTGTTAAAAATGTTTTGAAAAACAAAAAAATACTACTTAAAAAGTAGTAAAATTTTAAAAACCATATATTATTGTCATCCTCAAAATTGATTTAAACACATAACCGAATGTCAAAAAGTTAAAAAGCGCGTGAATACTTGTTATACGAGAGGCAGTCATTATAGAAAATACAAAATTACATAAACTTATGTTTTTTTTCCCCCTGGTTCAAACTGCGTGATAAAGACGTGAACAACATGCATCCGTAAAAGCCCACAGAGCAGCAATAAATTGCCGAGTGTCGGCTCATCAGAGGGGCCTTGATGAAATTAGGAACAGAGTTCAATTACACCTGGTTGCACTATTTAGGGGAAATTAAAACTGCAGCAGTGGACATTGGGAGGAGCACAGGGATGATGAATGCGTGCGCGGAGCTCCACAAACTACTGTGTAATTAGATTTTGCCCTGCGGGACTCCATTAATAACTTAAAATATAATGCACACTTCATTGGAGGGGGCCATCAAATGTGGGTGTGTTACTGCACTCTGGAGGAGGCACCCTGTGCGCTTCATAACAGCGAGCGAGAGCTTGACATAAATCAGACGAGGCAGATTTCGTGGAAGCAAGACTCGTAATTAGCTTTGGAAATTACATGTTTTAATAAAGTTACCGGCTGTAAAACACGAGGAAATTGTTCCGAGAGAAGGATTTATAAAAGACAGAGGAGACTTCAGGACGCGTTTGTTTGCGTGAGGCTGCTGACCTTTGATTATCTCGCCCAGCGTTCATTAGCTCCACGACTTTCGGGGTGATTGTTGCTTTAATTAAGCAGAGGCTGATTACTGATGTCGCAATCACACGCGAGGCATAAAATGCACAGCTAGAGTCCAGTTTACCCGCTTACATCTAAACATAAAGTGGAGCAATTAGCCGCTAACCACTGCCTCTTTGGAGAGACGCACACCACCAGGAAGTGTGTGAGTCATTTGATCATATCTTGGGATTAAATGCAGGGAAAGGGGTTTGAAAGCAGAGAGCTAACAGAGAGGAGAGTGCTTTCACTTTGAAGGTCTTCTCTGTGACACTAAACTGTCGCCATATTGGCTCCAGGCTAACTTGTCTGTCTAGACAGCGACATGACATGCACAAATTATTTTTTTATTTCTCTTTGGTCTCATTGTCAGCATAATCGTTGAATGTTTCCACATTTCTCACATTAAAACCACAAAACTCGATGTGTTTTGCTGGGATTTTTCTTTTGCGATAGACAACATAAAGAACAATATTGATAAATCCTTATTAATGATTCTTAAAAGCTTCAAAAACTTAAAACATTGCCCGACTTTGCTTGACTGATTATCAAGTAGTTTAAAAATTTTAATAAATACAGTCAGTATTTGTAAATTAGTGGCAATATCACACTTCTTCGTGTAATTGATGTCCAAAAGAAGCCTGTTTCTTTCCCTAAAAGACTTTGCAAATTGTTTTTAATGCCACTTTTACTGTTGTCACAATAAATACGATAAAATGTCATGATCAAATTCCCCATCGCCCATCTCTACTTTGTGGCATAATACCCTAGATTGTCATTTGACTGAGGATGCTGCAGCAGTGTAGATTACGAGGCTTTCAGCAGTCATTTATTAGCCGTAATGTGCAGCATTCACATGCAGCTCTTAGAGAGAAATGGCATCATTAACCCTTTGAAATCCAATCCTACACTTCCAACTAAAAGCTTCCAGAAATCTGACATCACTAACACCAGTTTGGATAAATTCACCCAGATAAATGAGGTAAGCAGCAGCCATCTTGGAGTGTTTGTCGAAATTAGGCATTCAAAACAGACGATCCTCACGAAACACGAATCTCAGCACAACTTTTTACTTATTTGTTGGGTTTTTTTATGTTCAGCTTGTCTCACACCAGGACAGTTTGTTTTCTGCAAGCGCTGAAGGTCACGCCCCGCAGAAGGAAAAAAAAACATCTCCAAACTTTCTGTTTTTTATTTCGCTTGCGTTGTCCCTGAGGATTGTTGAGCGATGGTCGAAATCCTGATAGGATTTCTCCGACTCCTGCCTATCAATCTGGAAGGAGGAGGAGAAAAAAGAGAGCCAGCTTCCCTGCCTTGAATTCCTAGTAGTAAAGTTGGTTCTCGGAGGACGGCGGGCTCCTTATCTGTCAGCAGCAGCGTTTTGATGAGTTTTGACAACGTTGTTTGTGACTGATGGGGTCCCTCGGTTGAATAGTTCCTGCTGTTTAGCTGCTGAAGTGATGGAGCGAGGAGCGACAAGCTGACAGATGGGACACCAAGTTTCCTGACTGGTTATTTTTCTACCTGAGACAGAGCGGCGTGTTTATGTGGGTGTGTGTCGATAAAGTGTTTTGTAACCATCTCTGGCTGTGTGTGTGTGCTCTGTTTGTGCATCAGGCCCTTCCCGTCCGAGGACACGGCTCTGAATGAGGATGATGTGTACCGGAGCCTGGAGGAGCTGGCAGAGTAAGTGTGCATTCTACCAAAAACACCCAAACCGACTTTCTTAGTCACCCAGTTGGACGTCCCAGTGATTCTCTGGAGGCTTCCGCTAACCTTAATCTTTTTCGAGCATTTTTTTTGTTATTTTAAACAAGAAAATCTAAACCCCAAGGGGAAACGGATGTACGTCATTTTGTTTCTAAGAAAGCACACAAGCAAGTTCACAGCAGCGATTTTATTTCTCTCCTACCTAATTTTCTATTTCAGGAATGTATACAAATATATTGTCATGCACTGTAAAAAAAAACTCAGAAAAAACTGTTGCTGTTTAGGGTCACTTAGTGTAACCAAAACGATTGGAGCTCTTTGGGTGTCCGTCAACATTTTCTGAAATGTTGTACGATTCTTCCTGACAGAGCTGGTGTTTGGTCAAAAACACAAACTTTAGCTTTTTCTGGGACTGAAATCAGAGCTTTTACATCTTAATCTTAGTATGTTAGCATACAAAGATGATTAAAATTCTTTTTTTAATGGTTTTTTTTGGCATTCAGTAAATAATTTAATTAAATGTTAAAGCACCTTCAGCATTTGCTCACACCAGCTGTAAACTCAAACCTTGAAATAATTCAATCTTAAATTACAGTAAAATTAGATGCTTTAAACCAACAACAACAAAATTTGGCCTTTATTTTAGATCCATATTATTGACACCTTTAATTAATTCCCACCAAAAAATAAAACTAACTATAATGTGTGTCAAATTTTGGATTTTTTTCTTAAAAAGTTAAAATCTTCTGGTTCGTGTTGATGAAATGGAAAAGAGCTGCTGACCTGCAACTTTCTGTAAATACAGTCAAGGCAGCAGCTTCAAACTTTAACACAGGATCTCTGATTAACAAGTCATTGGCGACGAAGGATTTAGGATTTTATGGGAGGTAAAAAAAAAAAAAGCTTTTGGATTTACGGGGTGGCTATACTGTCTTAACTAGCAAGGATTCAGATAAACCTTGTTAATTTGAACGACATTTGAAAATTAGATCAAATTTTTTGCATATTGTTTCAGCTTTTCTTGTTGATGCTGTTGACTCGCTGACTACACGAGCATCTTATTCATGGTCATGTTGTCTCCAAAATACCATCAGCTTTGATGCAGAAACCATTTTTCAGATGTAAGGATCCCAGTGCACACATCTCGCATAACTAGCGATGCTTGAAGTCAAGTTGTGATTGTCACTTTTCCCCATATGTGCTAATCACCTAATTACATAAGCAAAGAGCATTCTTCCACGTCGTCTGTTGCGATGGCGACACCAGCTCTGCTCTGCTCAGTAGTTTTTTGGTGTTTTTTTTAGGCTTGGCTGCCGCTCTGGAAGCGTCTGTGGCCGGCTGCTTGGATTCGGTGCACAGTGGTTTGGTTTTCCTGTGTGTGAGAGCGATTTGTAGGCTCTGAGGCTGGTGACAGCAGCTGCTTGACTCAGATTAATGGAGATTAATTAGCCAACCGCTCTGAGATGGGTGTCTTCATCATGAAGCGATAGGGAGAAAGCAGATCATGCAGACTATAGATATAGATATATCCCTCCTGAATGCATGATTGGGATGAACTGTGTAGGACGATGCAGGCTGAGGAGGATATGAGATGCTGCCAAGCAGGGTAATGCTGGATTAGGGTGCAAATACTGTATGCAGGGCGACTGCATGAAATAAGACTCAAATTGGTCTCATATTTTAGGTGATGATAGCCTGATATATAAACCATGTTTATCTGTTTTATATTTAAATGATATTGGTTTCATTTATTACTGTACAATGCATTTATGAAGGGCAGTAATAATAAAAATGAGCCTGAATGCAGAAGACTCACAAGGATAGAGTTTTGCAAAAGTATTCATACCTCTTAAAATTGGTGCCAGTAACTCAATTTAATGTTATATTCTGAGTTTTATGTCATTAACTGGAGCATGCAGACTCAAAAGAGGTTACATGCTGAAAGAACAACAAACTCAGAGCAGTAATTGAGCCAAAACTGTTAAAAAATACATAGATTTGCACTTAATAAATACTTCATTGTCTGTAAATATGTTCTACCCAGAAATCCTCAAGTGGAAGTTTCAACTTCATCTGGTTCAAATACGACAGAAACCAAAATCTTCTTCTAAGCACCTTTTCTATAAATAATCAAGTGTGCACTAAAGTACAATAAAGTGTTTATTTTCTTTCTTCATAATGAAATTGAATTATTTGCTTGTTTGGATCTTTTTATGCATGTCTAACATTAAATAAAAAAAAAAAAGGTTTACATTGTTTAAAAAAAACTTCAAAGTGTGAAGTTTTTATTATCCGATTAATCATCAGAATAATCGCTATAATAATCAATTACAAAAATAATCATTGGTTGCAGCCGTGGTTTAGATCAAAATATTTCCAGGAGTTAAAACGGCCCAGTCAAAGTGCAGTTACTGCACATTTGCAGTTTGCAAAGTGCAGTTCAATGTCTTGAAACGTTCAGCTCAAAGATTTCCCTTTTCTAATTATTGACTCTATTGCTTATTTATTCATAATTGTAAACAATTTGAAGCCACTGTGTGTCATTTGGTTGCAGGTTTTGTGTTCCAGAATCATGAATATTTGTTCATTTGCCCACCTGAGTGGACATTAGTTGAGAGTTTGTACATGGACAGTTGTCTGCCTCATGACAAAAAACTTAAAAAGCTGCATCAACAAAATAAGAAGTCGGTGTATAAATGAGACAGACTTACCACCATCCTATAGGTATACAAGGTTATATCAGTGTTTAACATCTAGAATCTATTCTACACATTGATTGAAATTAACCTTGGTACCCAAAGCTGCAGCTTCACTGAGTCGAGTCGAGTTCTCTGTTTTCTCAAGTGGTCAGGGATGTCACCACGCTAAGGTCTGTGTGTGACCTTTACTGTAGGAGCAGAGGGCAGGTCTTATTAAATTAATCATTCCCTTCCACCGTATGGCTGCACTTGACCTTTTACGAGGAACATTTTGTCTCACCAATGGACACGAGGATAATTGATTCATCAGCAGGTCCTCCACTTAATGCAGTAGGACACGCTTAGCACATAGGTCATGCTAGCAATAGCCCCGCTCTCAAAGACGTATTAATTAGCCTGAAATATTGATGCATAGTGTGATTTATGGTGGCTCCATGACTGAACTGCGAAACATGGATGATGGGGACAATAATCATCGCTCCACAGTAATAATAGTCATGTTTTATCGATGTGAAGCCAAACTGTTTCCCGTAGGAGGAAACCGGAGCACAGGGAGAACATGTGGAGCCGTAAAAGACAAGAGTGTGAAAGATATAAAACAGCAATATTGCCACCACAAATTTTGATTGTAAATAACAAAAGCCAATGGGAAAGAGCAATAATAATTTTATGGCAAAGCTAAGAAACTCCTGAAACTGGTGAGTAACAAGGGGTTTAAAAAAAAAAAGAAATAGGAACCAACTGCTGGATGATGTTGGTGGAAGGACGGACATTTTCAGCAACAAGGCAGTTCAGAGCACTTTAAATGACTTCAAAGGAAATAGAAACAAAACAACAAACCAAAAGGAAAAGACAAAAGTGCTGCACAAGTTAAGCTAATAGCAATTTCTCTAGATCTAAAGTTTGTTCTCGATTAGTAATAAGAATGAGTGGAAAATGAAGATGAAAAGCAGCTTTTAGGGATGTGTTCATATCCAGTAATTACAGTTAATGGGAGCTTCATTGACTTTTTGCAGAGCCGCATTGATTAAGAGTGATGAAGACTGTCTGCCAACATCTTGCCTTTCCACTGTCCATTTCATCTTATACAAGAGCTACCTAAAGAACAGGGGACAGAAACGACTGATGACCAGACGGTTTCAAACTTATGATCATTTCAACTCGATATTCAACTCTTTAAAACTTGTAGCTATTTCAAGGTCTCAGACGGACCTTCTGGTGTTCAGTCACATCAATACAGGACTAAATATTGAAGGTTTAAACATTGGAGCACTGCATCTTTTTGTTATTTTGACCACTTCTCATGTTTTGCAAATAAAACCGAAATTGTTGCTTGGAATTTCAGAGACATTCAGTAGTTAATAGAATAAAATAACAGTGTTCATTTTACTCAAAGAGGAAAGTCAGAGAAACTGGTCATTTTGCAGTGGTCTCCTAATTTCTTCCACAGCCGTATATCAGGAAAACAGACAAACTTTGATTGAGTTTCCTGTGTTTTGTCCAGCTAATGTGACTTTAGGTAATCTGAGGGATTTTCAGAAACAGAAATTACCGCTCATATCCCTGTGGTTTTAAAATCTGATCCTACATCCTTAGAAAGTACAATGCAGTGCTGGGACTCTTGATGTGGACTTGCTTGATGATTTGTGAAGTCTTCTTGTTAAGAATTGGTCCTGTGTGAGTAATCTACATCCAGCAGCTTATCCTGAAGCTATGAACACAAGAGATTGTGTTTTGCTTGACTGAGTATCATTTAAAGGTTAAGTACAAGTCACTTCAGTTGTTAGGAGTATTTCCATATTGCGCACGCTGCTGGGTCAGCTGAACTCATGTCGAGTGAGGTTGATTGAGGCCTGCAGCCATCATTAGGAGCTCACCTGAAAGCAGCAGACGTAAAGTGGATAGTTTGGATCTTCCATAGCGCCGCCATGTAAATGTTTGAGTCACGCTGCTTGCATCCTGCTACCCGGTATCTGTTTCTTCGTCTAATTGAGGTCTCGGAGGTTAATGCGGCGACCCTGGTCCTTACCTCTTCCCTCTGGCGTCCAGATGATCACCTTGCTTAACTCCCAAGTCCTCTCCGTCTGGAACGACTCCATCCTGAGGTTGACAAAGCATGAAATGGGGAGGATCTGGCACAGTTGCCAGGGGAGTTATTTCCTTTGCGAAAGGCACACATAGATTTCCATTCCCAAACATGGACTGTCACAAGCTCTTTGTGTCATCTTTAGCAGTTTATTTTGGTGTGCCATTCCCCTGGGCAGGCAAAATAAAAAAAGTCAGTAGCTTGTAAAATAGGAAAGTTACATAATTTGTGATTTATTCTTCTTTTTTGTGCAGTGTTTAGACATGTATAAGTATTAATATTTCTCTTTTGGTTATGATTGTTTACAGTTTTTGTGACATTTTCTTTGTTTTTTACACTGCCTTTATTGCGTTTATATATATTTTATGTGAAGTTAGTTAGTGGGTTATTCCTCACTCCCTCTATTTATAAAAACAGCAGTAATACTGCCGTTAACAGCAGCTTTACCTGATAGTATTATTGGATTCAAACAAAAGGGGGATCCTGCAAAAGTGAACATTAGAAAAAAATTTCTCTATGGAAGAAATAAAATGTAGCTGATTAAAAATGACATTATTTGCTGATAAATTGTCAGCCGTTTAGTTTAATGCAGTCTGGTTTTGAGGAAATCCATCTCTGAATGCATTTATTGACCTTCGAAGCAGAAGAAGCGCTACAGCAGCAGACAACCTGGCTAATTCTGCCAGCTAACAACTGGAAATTGAGACTCCAGAAACACCAGTATTGGACTTTTACTGTTTGGAAAAATAATTCCTGTTCTGTTGAGTCTTGATTTTAGTCGTCTTTCAGATGGTGGGGTTTGAAGTTAACAACACACAAAGGCATCAGCAGAATCATTCAGTATCAAAGACGATACATCTCAAAGTGATTGAACACGACAGCGACTTCATTGTTACTGGAGATTTTATTCTCTTGTATAAAGCAATAATAAAAGAGCTTGTCACAAAAAATGATTAAATGAAATACAAATATCATCCATATTTTAAAATTCAATCTTTGCAAACTTTTCTTTTTCATTTAGTGGCATGCTTTACTCTTTGCATATTCTCCTACACATTTTTACCAAAACCTATCTTTTATAACTTAAACCTAAATGTTATATGCTCTTTTGATTTACAAAAACCTGAGCTGTGTCGAACATATGCACTGTGGCTCTCATACAGTGAATCATTGTCCATTCCTCCTCCTCACTGATGCAGCTCTATGTCATCGTAAGCCTGCAGCACTGACTAAACCGATTGCATGCAAACGCGCTGGACACCCTCTGGCTCGTCATTGTTTTATCAGACAGAAAATTAGACCCTAATTCATGAGCCCTGAGGCCCTTTCCTTCCCACTCTGTGTCCCACTCATGCATTTTCATGCTAAGACATGCAAAAACACACACCCACACACACAAACATGCCCACATGCGTGCATGTGAATTATTTATAAGTGCAAGCCCAACAGAAAAACAGTTTTGGAAATTTGTCCTATACAATGTTCCACTTGTACAGATAAATCTTTGTTTTTTTCTCTTCCTCATATCATCACTTATTTACACACATTATGCAGTATGTAGGACGTCTCTGTACAAATTTAGCCCTGCTACATTCACAGCGCTCTTCTTGTTTCGTCATGTTTTCTGGAAATGTGATTACCCACTTGCTTTGCAACGGTTTTCAAAAAACTCGAATGTCACAACAAAAAACCTCAACAGATTGCTGAAAGTAATAAACCAGAGCAGAGTAGTGCAACATTTTAGAGGAAGAAAACTTTACAACTGAAAACTGTGGTAAATTGTATTTAGCCCACTTTATTTGTGGTGCAGGAGACGGAGTAAAAACTTGGAAGTAAGTTCACTGGTCAAGTGATTACCAAATTTAATTTACATAAACTAAATGCAAAACGCTGTGTGGAGAAAAACTGACATTATACATCACCACAAACACTTTGTCTCTACAGTGAAGCACAACATTTGAATTGATTAGAACAAGAACAACACTGAACAGTACAACCAGATGTACAATGTAAGAGTTTGGATGGGTGATATTGTTTTCCTTGAACTCTAAAAGTTGTGGAAATCTTTGCAAGATGCTCTGCATCAAACACAGAACCTTGTGCAAGACAAAAGAGCCTCTGTAAAAGTTCAGTTTTTAAATAAAAGAGGCAATAAAGTTTAAATTCAGGTGGATTAGGAAGCGTTTGAATGAAACAACCAATCAATCATTCATATTTTAAGATCATATCCAAGCATCGCTGATCTTGAGTGTCATTAACCAGCTGATTGAAAATGTACTGAAGATGAAATTACTAACTGAAAAGATGAAGAAAGACATGAAAAATCAACAAAGATGCTACAGATGCATAACTACCAGTGCACATAAAGTCAGATTCAAGTCAGAATATGATCTTTCATTATCATATTCATATAAAACAGCACTTAGTCTTAGATTTCTCCTCCATGTTCTCCCAGGAGAACCTGCCTCTCTCAGATCTCTCCACAGGTCAAAAATATGTCCATAACCCCCCGCGGATAATAGAGCAAAATTAAGTTGAGAGTGTGCCTCGGCGTAACCTCTGTGCCATCCAGCGTCTGTGAGAGTGGTCCTGCAGTCCCACCGCTGGGAGAGGACATGCTGATAGGACAGCAGGAGCTGGGTACTGTCCTCCCACGCTGCAGCCTCGTCAGTATTCAACTGGAGCCACTTTGGCTTAATGAAAAAAGAAGCAGCGTATTACTGAGAGTGAACTAAGACACCCCAATTAAAACTTCAAACCGACGTCACAGATGCGTCTGCTCTTCTTCTCCTTATCCTCGTGTTTGTACAGACAGTGAGAGGAGGATTGTTGTAGCGCTGAAAGCAGATGAAGGTCGTCACCTGGACCCAGTTCTGGAGAATCAAACATAAACCCACGACTTACAGACCGCCTTAGTAACCCAGTGCTACCGTTCTCCTCAGGATGCTTTCAAAGTTTACCACAGTGTCAATGTCTCTTCCTAATGAGACATTGTTTTCAAGCTACAGTTAGCATGCTATGATTAGCATGAGTGTAGCAGACTCTACATCAGAAGAAACCTTAAGAATTACCAGCCTGTTGTTCTTGTGTAAGCGTTTTACATCTTCTAGTAATAAAAACAATAGAAATAGACACAATAGATACTGTGTAAATTGTGTTAGCTAATGCTACATCAGAAGCTAACATCCACCATCTTCCTCATCTGCCCTCTTGGAGGTACAGCCAGTTAGCGCCAGGGAAACTGAATGACTTTTCTGGATTTGCTCCTTTGCAAACACCAGCCAGTAGCATCCCATGGCACCAGGGTTTTTCAGATACTTACCCAGCATTTTCTTCAGGATAATATCCGTATGATTTACCAAAAAAATTAGATAAAATCTACAAATAGGCTAAATTTCCATGTATTCGTAATTTGTAAATACTGAATGAACTTTAAATTAAAGCCCTGATTTCATAAATTTTTGGGTAAAGACTTAGAAGCTGTAAATCTGTGGCGTTTTAAAGAAAGTTAAAGATACTGTGACCCAACCCTAAACCTTCAGGACAGAAGAAACAAGGTGGATGTCTGCTGAGGCTCAACTTGTGACTCAAGTTAGAAAACTTAATAATCACCAAAGAATATTGAATTCATGAGAAATTAAACCAGGAGATTGGATTTACACACTTAGAAAACAACATTTGTGGCATCAAACATAAAAACCATCATTCATTCCTTTCAAATATATTTTTTTTGGGGGGGAGAAGTCTTTGAAAGAGATTTGCATCTTCTCTTAAAGTCCCTTTCCTGAGCAATAACTACACCTGCAGTGCAAGGCAATGCACAGCGTAATCTCCGATAGCATGAGGAGCAGCAGCCGTTCCTCTCCACAGCAACTGTCTTTGCTCTGCTGGCTTCTGGCCTAATTAAAGGTCAGTTAGCTAGCTGGGTGCCAAAACAATATAAACAGATTCAAGGGAAACGCCACATGGGAGCCCAACACGTCGGAGGGGTTTGTAAATGCTGGGTGCTGCGTCCTCTTCCTCGGAAACAAAATCATTAAAGAAATTAAAATCACGCTGCCCCTCTGGCCCTCGTGTGTAAAAGATAATGAGATGGCTCAGATTTGACAGCCCAGGGTGTGTTGGCTGTCTTAAAGTTTTACTTTTCCCTCTCCTCAGCGAACACGACCTGGGCGAGGATGACATCTACGACTGCGTGCCGTGCGAGGACGACGGCGACGACATTTATGAGGACATCATTAAGGTGGAAGTACGACAACCCATGGTGAGATCTCTGTATAATCAGCCGCTGATTACCTGATGCATGTTTTCACACAAGATTTCCAGCATCGTCAGCATGCACAACTAGAAGACAAAAAATAATCTTTGAATATTAGAAGCCAAGGCAGTTAACTGTAACACGTAACTCGTGCTGACCAGTTGACGTTTCTTAGCCAGGATCATAAAAACTGACAACCAGTCTTCATCATGGGCTTAATTAGCTGCAGAACCACCATGATGAGCTAATAGATCTAGACTTTTCCTTTGCATAACCAATTAGTCCTGGTTTTAAATCTTAAAATGAATGAATCTAATCCTAGAAGCTGGAGGGGGGGAATAAGTACAACTTAACAAGTGAGGAAAAGAAGTAATTACTTTGAAAATATTTGGGGAATTTTATAAAGAAGTCTAAATTGCATTGTAAGGGTGGACTGCTGGGTTGGACTTGGAACCTGTTCATAACTGCTTGTTATTCTAGCATTTAAATCACTGATTACCTAACAACCCCCAATGTAAGTCAGGCAGACGGTTCTCAGAACTATTTAGGAGCCGGTCTTTTTGCTAAGCTTTACTAGAACTTTAACTGGAACTTCCTGCTTTGGTTAGTTCAGGCTAAGATTATGGTTTTTGGTTACTAGCACTCTACGCGAGTAGACAAAAAGAAGTATGTGGAAAAGCATCTCTAGCCTGTAGTTGAGCCTTTAGTGATGCAGTGGGCCTGTTTCCCTTTTAAACCAGCAAGAAGCTTTTTAAACGTCTTTCTAGAAACAGGAGAATACAGAATAAATACAGAATAAAGTTCATCTTTGTGTTTTCAGGAGGATAATGAGAACAACAGAGAAATCGTTCTTTTTACTCTAAAGCTCTTTTTCTGTTGGTATTGGTAAAATTAAAGGTTGAATTTTCATAAAATATTCTGTGTGAACTTATGCTACTGCAATAAAAGTTTATTTTAAGACTTTTGACACATTTCCAGCATAATTGACTGTAAATGTAAACAGCTCTGTGTGTTTTCAGGCGCAGTATTTTTAAGCTGTGGCAATCTGTGAACTACTAGATTTCTTTCCTCCCTGTGAATTTATCGTTTTCAACCTGCTGCTGACATTAATTAGAAGAAAGCTTAAACACACAACCAGAGTGGGATGACGGCATGTCTGATGTCTTAACTCCTGTAGCATTTTCTTCTGCTTTGACTTGTATCATCATCAGTTCAGAAACGATTCATGAACAGTAAGAATACAAGCGCGTGCTGCATTCTTGAGCCTCGGTTTCACACAAACCTTGTAATGATTGTAAGAAACCAGTAGATTGAAATCTCCACAGACGGCTTTGACTCTGTTTTCGTTTTGCTTTATTTTCTTTTTCCATTTGGGTAAAATCCCGTTTTCCATTATGGCTCTACCTTGCAAATGTATTCACAGACCTTGATTTATTTTATTTATTTATTTATTTTTTTAACATTTGGTCACGTTATAACCACAAACCTTAATGTCAGATACAGCTACATAGCATATTGGATTTTTCTTAAGTGGAGAGAAAGTTATAGGTTCATTGCGAGATTTTCTACTTACCCTCCTTTAACTAGTACCCTCAAATTAAATCCAGTGTAAGCCTCAAGAAGTCACCTCATTAGCAGACAGAGTCCATCTGTGTGTGATTTAGTCTTTAGCAGTTTCATGAAGGCGTCAGAGGTTTATTAGAGAACATTTGTAAACAAACATCATCACCATGAAGGCCAAGGAACACAGCGAGACACGTCAACGTTCAAAGAAAGTGACTCACATCCTCCAGTTGTTGTTGTGAAAAGACAAAATGCTTTTGTAGACAAACCCGTTTGCATTTCTTTTTCAAAATGTAAATGTGAAAATCCCGTATGTTTTGGGTCTGTGGTAATTTGCACAACCCTTATCTGCAAAAATCTACTTCATTCCGTGTTTACTGTCATTTTAAGCAAAAAGAAAGTTCACCTAAAACTGCTGATGTTTAGATGACAGCAAAGTTATAGGAGAGATCCAGAAGATTCTGCAAAAGACTTGAGACCAGGCAGAGTTTGCAGGGGAATTGTTTCAATTACAGATGATTCATGAGTCGAAAATGCAAAATTCAGACCCATATCCGTCTGAGGATATGTGACAAGTAGTTCTCCATCCAACATGGCTGAACTGGAACTGTCTTGCAAAGAGGAATGTGTGAATATATTAGTCTTCAGATGCACAAACCCCAACAGACGAATGTAGGGTGACTGAAAATGAGAATTATCCACTAGTTTGTGTCTCTTAAAATTCTATCAGAAATAAATTGAGGTTTGTGGTTGCAGTGCATAAAAACTTCTGCAACATTATATAGGCTTATATTATTATAAGCCTATATAATGTGCAGATGAGGATGCATCTGTTCTTTGCAGAGTTTGTCGGATGCATTGTGATGAGATCACGATGGACCTGACAGACTGCAGAGACCAGATGACGATGCAGCTTTCCATTTATTGTCTATTTCACACTTGGTGATATAAACCTGTCACTTGCTTTGCCCTTCTCATGCTGCAGATCAGATACATGCAGGTGAGTGGTGCTGTGCTTGTGACTCGACTCCCCCTCTCCTCCCCTCCAGCCTCCTTCTCGCCATCAGCTAGCTTCCCCTCATCACTTCATTTCAAACACACAGAGAATGACCCGCCGATTAGGGCTACTGACCCATGCACGGTGGCGGGGGAGACCCCATCTGGTTGAGCGTCTGACTCAGGGCCTGTGACTTCAGCTCAGTGGCTGCAGTGTTAAGTGATGTCAGCGAACACCACCCGCTGCCACAACAAAGACGGAGACAAACTTTGTTGTGCTGGCTTCGTGCCCTGCCTCTCTTTTTCTTTTTCTAATTACATGCTGGACTGAAGCCTGGACTGGACTTTCTTTTTCTTCGTCTTTAAGCATTGTTAGCTCCAGGATTTTTTTTATTTTATTTTACTGTTAACGGCCAAATCTGGTCCAGATGGCTCCCCTACTTCTTCTTTATCTTCCTCTTAAGTTTAGCTGCTTCAGATAAAAATGTGTTCAAATTAAATCTGTATGTTTTTCTGTGGATTTTACAGAGCTGTTTGGCTAAGTCGTGTGTGGAAATCAGTCAGTTTTGAACATTTATTCAGATTTTCTTTGCTTTCTTTAATAGTGCAGTGGTTATTTTTTATTTACTTTTACTGCTGTCAACTGATTTCCAGACTATGATCAGTGAACTATGCAATCGCTCAGTGACCCTTTGTATGTGAAAGTATCATCTGTGTGACAACAAGAATCCATTTCTTGGAATATTAGTGAAGGCCATGAAATGCAAAGAAAACTGCACGAATATCATGCCCTGTGTGAAATCATTTAAAACGACACAATAAAGCCTGTTCTCTCAGGCTGGTACGAACTGAACCGCTCCACAAAAGCCTACAGAATGATTTAATACTCTGATCCACCATCTCAAAGGCAGGAATCACAAACGTCATTGAATCTGCAGCCAGAGGGATGCCATTAAAGAACCAGAAACCGCTTTAGATGCTTCAGCAGTGTTTTTATAACTTAAACTCGGTTCAGCCCTTCTCAACCAACCCAATCAACCCGCCAAACTGAGCAGAGAAAAATGGAGCCTTAGTCATAACTAGAGCGCCGACAGCAGCTATGATTTAAATCGCTTCTTTGATCAAGTGTGGTCTCTGGTGCTTTTATTAATCGATGCAGCACTCAGGGCTGTTTACCCAAGCAGCTAAACAGAAGTCATCCTCCAAAAAGGCAAGAAAGCAAAAAAATAAAGTGAAAGAAACCTGGATGTACTCTATTCTACCTTTGGGGAAAGAAACCCTCGAATCATATAAAATGAAATGAACTTCTGGCTTGTCTGAACCGTTCCTTATAGCTAAACTAGGCGGGAGAAACTCGCTGTCAGCACAATTTTCCTGCAAGTCAGAAAACAAGTTAGTATAGAAAGAAAAAAGAAGGAGACCAAATGCTTTCTAGGAAGGATCTGAGGTTATGTAACAAGGCTCATGTTGAGTTTAAACCTCAGCCTTGCAGGATGTGTTTTTATGGGCATTCGTTTAGCATCTCTCACATAGTTTTGAGAAGAAGAATGGACAAAAAGGTATTGTTAGTTTTGAGAATAATCTTTGAAAATAAGTTTAGAGTTTACTTGAGCTCTTCAGCCAATGAAAGATGAAGCCTCTCCTGCTTTAAGAAGTCAAATATATATATATTTTTTTACTTGTCTCAACAACACAATAAATATGAGTAAGTTTCACTCTTTACCTTAAGGTAGACGTTCATGACAATCTGTTAGATAATCCAGTTTACCTGACACAACAGCGTTGCAGCAGAAATCTAGTCTGAAACCACTGGCATGTGGGTTTCATGCCAATCTCATCAATGTTTAATCCCGTAAAATCTGTTCAGTGTTTTGACACATGGCAAGATTATATCATGGCTAAAATGACAAGCTTTTCATTTGAAAACTGTGGAAACAGTCCTGAAGCATAAATTTACTAAAACCAGAAAAATCCCTTCTTTTAAATCCCAGTTACTTCAACCAGTTCACTGTGTATTTAAACACATAAGATCATGTTTTTCCTTTGTATTTTCTAGAAAATGGGCATGACAGAAGATGACAAGAGGAACTGCTGCTTAGTTGAGATCCAAGAGACTGAATCCAAGTACTACAAGACTTTAGAGGACATTGAGAAGGTGAGTTCTGATGCTGAAAGTTACTGTTTGGCCCAGAAGTTCTCATTCACTCGTTCACTGGCATAGATGAAGAATCTGGTGCACAAATTAAAATGTAATTGATGAAAATATACCCCCAGACTCACACATATCCATTAAAAAAAAAACATTTTCAAGTCTTTGCATAGACATTAGTCCTTTTATCCTGGAAAAATTCATGAGGTGATAGAAGGCTGACTTTATAACTGCCTTTATGTGTCTCTAAAGGTTCAGATCTGAGTTCATCTCTAATTTCTAGAGACCAACAGCAATAAATAGATCAAAGGAATCAAATTAAGGGTTCTGCATGTATTTCTCTTCTATTATTGTGCCAAAACTTGTGTCCACAACTGTTGACCGTGCAGGTAGTGAGTGTTTTTATACTTGCTCTGGGTTCCTGTTTGCTGCCTCCTTGTTGTCGGCGCCCGATGCCCCTCGGCTGTGTGTCAGCATGGAAATGTCACGTATCGGCCGATTCATTTGGGAGCACAAATGTCACGGGAACCGATCAATATGGTTATTATTGGCTGAGCCCACAGGGGAGACGGTTATCCCTGGTGCTTTACGTGCACATTACAGGTGCCGAGAGTTGCCAAAGGAATAGCTTGATTTATATTAAATCTCTTTATAATTCAATAACAAAGTCTGATGATGCATCGATGTAATTTATGAGGATATAAAAATCTTTATACTTTTGAATTCAAGGAGCTGGGTAAATAACTTTCAACATTTTTTAAACAAACCAAATAGAAAAATGTGTCATGCATTGGTGTTCATCTTGGTTGAGTCAATACTTTGCAGGACCAACTTCAGGTGCAGTTCAGCTGAAGTTGGGGGATTTCTCTACCAGCTACAGAAATACATTCTTGCTTGTTCTTCTGCAGCTCCACCTCAGTGAGACTGGATGAAAAGACATTTCTTTTCTACTCTGGCTGTATGTTTAAGGTGACTGCTGTGTTGGAAGATGAACCCCAACCCCAGCCTTGAGTTTTTTCTGTAGCCTCCAGCAGGTTTTTCGACCTCTGTTTTATATTTGTTTTCTTTCATAAAGCTCTCCTTGCCTGGCCTGTTACTGTGTGTGAACATCCATCTTTCAGTAAATCTGCAGTCCATAAACGTTTTATTTTTAAATACTGGATTGAACAGAGCTCTATGAGACATTCAGAAATATTTCACACGTCTTTCCTGCCATTCTTTTTGCAAAACAGACACAAACACTCCAGCTCTCTCAGCGTAACGACACGCCTTTGTCGAGATCGGCGCTGCTAACGCATCACTTTTGTCATTGGCAGATTTCTTCTGAGTGCCACAAATCATCCGCTCTGCTAATTTCATTAAAGCGAATGTGCATCCTGTGTTTTTCCCCACATTAGACCAACGTGAGAGTGGATGAGAACAAATGTGCCTCTCGTGATCAGAGGACTCGTAAAGCTTAATTGAGTTGGGGTTCATAAAGGCTGTCGTTTTTTATGTTGCTTCTTAGTTGATCTATTTGTTATCATTATGATGATGAAATGTGGCGGCCATAAAGCAGAGCTGTGGAAAATAACAGGCCGGTTTTTCCTGCCGTCTGCAGCAGCACTGCGTCTCCATGTAGCGCTGGCTCACTAAGTGTTGTTTCCATTTAGCAAATGGCCTGATATATGTTGCCTGTCTCTTTACCATGTTGTGTAATATTGATTTGTGCTAAAAGCTTGAATTGATCTCCTTCGAAGAAAGAAAAACAAACGTTAAGACTGTTGAGAAAATTAGGTTTTTCGTGTAAAGCTTGTTCTGATTTGTTCCTCTCTCCCCTTGAAGAATTACATGATCCCGCTGAAGCAAGTCTTGAGTTCGCAAGAAATGGAGGCTATTTTTGTCAACCTGGAGGTGAGTACGCGGTCAGGCGAAGGGAAATCTGTCTTTACAGCATGTCTGCATGCCTCCGACAGGTGAATAATTGAGTGTGCGTATGGATAGCTGATTGACTGACATGGCATGTTTTTGTTTCTGTACTCTACCCTGATACATAATTCATAGTTTCATATATAAAGCAAATATTCGTTTTCAAAACAGCGCCAAAGGAAAACAGGAGATATTTTTTTTCATGCATCGCCGTCAGTGATGGATGTATGAGCGACGGAGAAACTTTGTTTTTTTAGCGGTGACTCAATATGCCAAGCAAAAGATTCTGAAAAGCAAAATAGTTGGAAGAGTTTTTCTACGTTTTTTATGCAACCTGAATCAGCTTGTTTTTTCTAGATTGTCGGTTTAGAAAACAGGTCATTACTCATCGCTTCAAAGCTCCTCCAACATGTTTGACTTTGTTCACATCTGGTAAAATTGTGCTTTTTGTGCCAATTGTTAAATAGTCGTAAATCATCATTATTACAAATTGAGCTCGTGATAGTTATACTCATTTCCACAGAAAATGTATATTTAAAAACAAAGCATCTGTGGTAACATTATGTCTGGAACACCAAACTTGGACATCAGTGGTGGAAAACTTTGTGCACCCAATGTAAAAATAATGATAGCAAAGTCTCCGGCGAGAAGGAGGCATTCAGGAAAACTCTTGTTTGACTGACGTATATCTTGGAAATGTAACAAACCGGCATCCTACTCAGAGATATAAAGTGCTCAGCCATGAACCCGATGTAGGTGGTGGGTTGGGATAAAACTCAGGTTTTGCTCAGGTTCTGACCAGCATTTTTACTCTGATGTCTTTAACAAACCACAAAGTGATTGCAGTTGATCTGCAGTTGGAAAGATCTCTTGAGTCCTCAACCTTTCTCTTGCGTTGTGGAATTATCATACATTTATTGCTCAGATCACTTTATGTGTTGCAATTTTACTGAAAAAAGCAACATTTAATCTAGAAAAAGGTTAAAAATCGAGGGCCACCGTTCATTTTCCTTGTCTTTGCTGAACTTCCAGGAGCAGAGGTAAGGAAGACGTCTGATATTACCTTCTGCGTTACAATTTCCCTGTGTTTTTCCGTGCATATTAAAGTATATTTGGTGTTTGAACTAGTAAAACAGGCAGTTCTTAGCGTTTTTAGTGGGAGTTTCAGTGTTTTTCTTTTCTTTCCTAAACCCTCAAACCGGGAAGTCTAATGTATATTTAGTGTTTTGCCAACATGGCAACAGTAACATCAAATATTGATGTCCAGTACTGTAGAACTCAATATAGATTCCTCTTTCTGCTTTTACATGTAATACAGATACATCAACCTGTTCTGTTGTTTATTGTGTTGCTTTCCTAGGATATAATCCGCGTCCACTTTGCCCTTCTGCGAGCCATCGATATGAACATGCTCAGTGGAGGAAGCGGCCTTGGAAAGATCTTCCTCGATTTCAAAGAAAGGTTGGTATCCTGTAATCCGCGCCAAGTGTTTGACCTCATGTCGCGTTCTTTTGTGCTCAGGACCCACAGCGATAAAATCCACTTACAACACAAAGATGGAGGCCTTTTTCTATCCTTTCGACTCTGAGACTGCATTAAGATGAGTATCTGCAGATCAAACCGCCCATTGATGGGATTAGCACACAAAGAATAAGTCACTTAAACGTAAATAAATCAAGTTGTGTGCAAAAAATTTAAAAAAAAGCTGAGAGAGCATGAAGCCAATTGTTTCTCTTTCCAGCCGAGGTTGACAAAGCAGCTGCACTTAGCCTGTCATTCATGTTCATTTTTTCTCTCTCTTATCATCACAGTGTATTATTCTTTGCATAAATATCGAGCTGCTGTAACTAAACACACAAGTCTAGGACTAGTGGGAGAGATGGCTCATGATCTTTTACCAGAAAGAGAAATCCTACAACCTCTAAAGTCTGACGTCGCTCCGTTTTTCTTTACGTTTTGCAGAGAAGAAAGTTGTGCTCATATCTTCTTCGGACGTTTTCTTGTCGTTTCTTTCAGTAGCTTTTGGTGCAGCGCCCCCACAGGTGAGGCAGTGAACAGGTTTTGATAGCTTGACTCAGTGCAATGTCAATGTGAACTGCATCCACTAAAAATGTAACAAATGTAGCAATTTTGGTCACTACTGAACATTTTACGTCACTTTCTAAATAATGGAAGCAAAATAAACTAAATAAATTTCCGCCTCATTTACATATTAACTTGAAACACTGAGAATTTTTATTTCAGGTACAATCGCAAACTCTAAGAACAATCAGAATGCGACATTTGCTTAAAACAGCAATAACGTCTCAATTATTTGATTTCTCTGTGGACGTGGGAAAGCACAAAGTTAGTCTGAAGGAAACCTTGGGGTTTGTTTCAAACTGGGGATTTCTCTTTGATCTCCATCTCTCCCAGCTGAAGAGCAGCGTGTGGATAATTTGCACCCCTGACGGGAGCCGTGATTTGCCTCCCTGCTGCTCTGAGTGCTACGGCTTCGTTGGTAATGGTAATGATGGTGATGATGGGTTCTGGCTTCGGTCATGATTCTATACGCACCAGTGGAAAACGGGAGCCTCCTCGAATAAGGTGGCCATTACTGCTGGAATGAGTCACACCGTGTGCGGGTGTGTGTGTGTGTCTACCTTACATACAGCAGTACTAACATACTTCTGTGATTTCCTGTTGCTTCCAGCCTGAAACTCATTATTTCTGAGATGTTCTCCCAGGTAATACGTTTGTCTTTATGAAGCTGTCCACTGTCCTTTTATTCACTACAGCTTGAAACTAGACCGCCACAAAGTTTCAACCAAATGTCTGCATTAGGGCTGCAACTAACTATTATTTTAGCAATAGATTTTTTTGTTATTGAATCGATTAATCAGCGGGGGAAATGGGCAAATTCTGCTAATTTTTCATTTAACCACTTAACCCTTTCTATAGAATATTGGACTATTACATTAAAATATGCAAATTAACACATCAGAAAGTAAATATTTTAATGCCTAAAATTAATCTATTTAGATTAATGTGATAATTTTTAGCAAATGATGCATCTGCAGATAAAAATCATATTTTTATTGTCAACATGTGAAAACTTCAGACCTTTCCGCTTCATTTAGCTTCAGTACAGTGTAGCGCTAATTTCTTAATTTTTTATTTATTTTGGAATAACTAGAGAATAATTAGATTACAAAGATGACTTAATAGTTTTTTTTTTATCAGAGTTTGAACTAGGTGAAGTATTTTTTTTCTTTTTTCTAAAATGCAAAGTGTAAATTTATCCGTACAGTTTTGAGTGTGATGTTCCTTTAGCAAATGGCTATTTTGGGCCTGTGTGCTCCAGTTAATTGATTACTAAAGTAGTTGATGGTTATTTCAGTAATTGATTCATCATGATTAATCTGATTAATAATATCTGTCCTGATTGATTCATATATATGTTTATAAATGGACATTATGCATGTTAATAACTGTGGCCATGTGGTGACAAATTAAGATTATAAGAAGGTGCAGCTTGCCTCAAATACACAGGACACTGAAAACACACCTGACTACCAAGTGAATGTTGTGTTTTCTTCAAAGTGCCTCACTCACATGCAGTTTTTGCTGAAATTAAGAGTTTCAAGCAACCGATCATTTCCTCTCCATTCATAATCAAATGTGCTGATGACACGCCGCTCATTGTTCCCGGTTGCCCTTCAGTGACATTCTCTGAAATGTGACGCAGGGTTATTTTAAGAAAATGATTCATTTGATTTGCAGATGCTCTCCATCCTGGTCTTTCACCGCCTACAGGTGATTGACATGCGTACCTTCCTCATTTCAAGCCGCCGGTGCATCTTGCGTCTCCGTGGTGATAAACAGTCGTAACCGAGGGGATTTGAACCGGCAAAGCTCTCCTCCGGCACCTCGGCGGGTTTCCCGGGGACGGGGGTCTGGCATAATTAATTTGGTTATCTGTGCTTGTAAGTCTCTGTGACCTTTACGACAATGTGCTTGTATCCTTTTTCCTCGTGTTGGTGCAAAAGATGAAAAGGCCTTTTTGTGTGCTTGTCATTGAACCGGCAGCCATGCTGAAAATGTCACCAGTTTATCTTCCCAGCTTTTAAACAGCAACACTGAGGCAGAATGGAAAAGTGCACTCAGAGGAACCTCCATAAACTAAATGGGCATCTAAATAGCCTCTTGTTGATATACTCATTTGCAACATTCCAGAACTCATTTCCGGAGTAATCTGGCTCACAGATATGCAGGCGGGGGCCTAATCATAGTGGCACTGTGCGCCTCTTTAAAGAGGGCCTTCGCTCGACGTTCTCCACCATTTGCTGTTTGCTGGGAAGGCTGAGTGGAGGTGAGGGGCTCCCAGTGCCATGTGTCTCTGAATATTAGCTGCTTCCACAGCTTGTCACTTCTGGTTTGCTCACTGAATTCCTCCGTCGCCTGACTCAGCGTGCCGCGCTGCTAGGGTGAGGGCGGATGCCCAGGGCGCAGTTACCCCCAAATTGTGTTTCTGGTGGAATAACGTGCGCAGCAGCTTTCTCGTCATGGAAGAGACGCACACAGCAGGAGCAAGAGGAGAAAGTTTTAACTGCTCCTGCAAAACCCAAAGGAGAAACTCCCAACATTTCTGCTGTTCTCAGACTAACATTGCCAGCTGGACAGCTATGGGACTTCGAACGGCACTTGTGAACATTTGCCAGCTGAATTTATGAATAAAACTTTGGCTTTGTTTTCTTCCCTAGACATATAAAGCCTGTTGTTATCTTTTAATCCTTGTATATAATTCCTGCCTGGTTACTGACTACTTTAAATTCAGTGAAGAAGATGATAAATATTTGTTCAAGCACATAAAAGCTGCAGCACCACACACTATATTTTCTTGTAAACTTTTAAAGTCATCTTGATCGATAGTGAACATGACTTTCTGAAGCTCTTGAAACTTTTTTTATTTACCTGAGCAGCTTTTTCTGTAGGTGTACAAGAAAAGCTCCGTAGACTGGAGATGAAAAGTTTTTAAAATCTGAAAGACAGAGGATGAATCCGATAAGGCGTTGTCTCGTAACCTGAGAGATCATTAACCCTTTAAGACCTCTGTTCAAATCTCCACCTGGATTTCTTTGCTTGTTTTAATTTTATGCAGTTCTTTAAATGCTTTGAGAGTAAATATATTTGCCCATTTATCCATAACTGACCTCCACGATGTTCTTAGAAAGCAAAGTTTTCCTTCTTGTCCACAATCACAATATAGAGACGCACTTTTCCTTCTTACTGAGACGACATTATTCATTGAGGTTTTATGCTTGTTGTGGTCTACTTAAAGTCCATATCTTCTAATCTACTGAAATGCATGGAAGATATGAACTAATCTGGGAGTATTTCCAACAGCTGGGTCCGAATTTCAATAACTTGTTTGCTAAATTGTGCGCTGGCACAACGCTGGTTTCTTCCTTGATTTTAATGTCTCATCAGCCACAGGTCAGAGTCTTAAGCCAAAATCAATAAGCTCATCTTCCGACCTGAAAATGAGAAAAAAGCCGCCAAAGTTTAAAAAAACGAGCATCTTAAAAGGTAGCAACGTCTGACTATTTTAAAGAAAACGTACAGCAAGAAGAGTTACACCAATATTTTCTGCAAAAGGGAACAGCTCTCTACATCTCCATCATCTCTTAGTATTTTGAATTATATAAAAGCGACTTTTTTTATTTCTAACTCAGGATTTGCTCTGAATTCTGTTTTTATTTTCTTCCCAAAGTACAGAGCAGATGATAAGCTGTTAGCTGCAGTAATCACAGCTCTTACTGGCTGGGGGGAAACGAAGCAAGCTGCCCTTTCCACTCACCATTAGTGCTTTTGTTAAACTGACTGGTTAAAGAGAGAAAAGAGGACAAAGCTTGAGACGACGGGCTGCGTTCTTCTCTGAATTCCCTGTATAATTATTTTCTATTTAAGCATGTATTGAACTCAAACTATTAGAAGCCGAGAAAAAAAAACCCTACAATAAGTTTCTTGTGGCTTGTAAACAGCTGCAAAAACAATAAATCGATTAAATGAGCCGCAGATCAAAAACTGTGACAATGGGCTCCTTTGAAGAGAGCTGAATGAGAACAAGAATTAAACTCGCATTTTGAGCGCAATGCTGTTCCCTACTCCACTGCTTCACCTCCAGTGATGTTTTTATTGTGGTATTTTTGACATGATCTGCTGTGAAAATCTATTCACCGCTTATAGATTTACTTCCTTTCACAAAGTAAAAGGTTTCAGATCAAGATTTTTCAAGTTTTGGTGTCAGAGAATAGTTAGAAAATTCTAAATGCATTTTTTTATTAAGAGAAACAAATTATCATTTTATAGTTACTCAGGTTATCTTTGAAATATGTTAGAGACTTCGAACGTCTTAAAATAAGACCTTCATGTCCCATTACGTCCCGATCATTCATTCTATAGTTTCTATCTTTGGTCTGTGCAACATTTCATGCTCCATCTGCCTTCTTACAGCCGCCCATTAATCTCAATCACAGTTCCAGCGGAGCCGGAGCTGAGGGAGCGTAGATCCAGTCCTAATCCAGATCTTATTGGATCCTCCTGATCGTATTTTAGTCAACTTTTCTGGGAAAAGTTTGGATTCGTTTTGGGGAATCTCATAGTTTAGGACTTTACCTCTGGCAGCCTGGTCCCCATTTTACAGCCTGAACATTTTAGGAAGATTTCCAGCGTGAAATTATTCATGTGGACATGCTTTCACATCAATAATGGAGATTCGTGAGTTTGCACTTTTGTGCTTTGGGAGCAGCCATGAAATCACATTGCAATCTAATTTTAACCACAAACATTTTGAAATAAATCTTACTGCATGTTTGTTGTAAATTATTAAAGTGCATTTTAAAAACAAATTGGGTCATGACATCATAGCCAGAGTAGCAGGATTAATATCGTGGGTCTTAGAGAGATAATTCACTGATCTTATCTTGCATATGAAACATTTGGGCAAAGGAAATGCAAAAAAGACAGACACGCATCCTGAGTTCATCTCAGTTCATAATTGTTTTAGGATAAAAAACTGTTGGAAAAACTATTATTACCCTAATAAATTCCTTTGAATGAAATGTAGCTAAAACATTTCTATTTTTTCTATTTGAGACTTTATTTAAAGTTTTGTCTCAGAAACCATTTTTTTTATTGAGAAGTTTGTCTTTTCATCACAAGTAGTGAGGAGGATGGTACAAATTACAAACGTAAATATGTGAAGTTAAGTTTGAACTTTTCTGCTACAAACAATCCTGTTTGCCTACTGAAAAGCACAACAGATTGAAGAGGCATTTATTTCTTTCAAAGAAAACTCCTGGGAGCTTTTGGGTATTTGATATTCAAGAACATTTCAATCAGAAATCTGGTGGTTTCTCCCTGAGAACAGCTAACGAGGCTGAAAAGAAAAGGGAATGAGAGTTTTTACACGATGGCCGTTCCATTTTCATCTGCTGCAGTTTGCTTTCCCCCCTCACTGTGTTAAACAAACTAAACCCTTTGAAAAAGCTGTTCCCCTCCTCGCCTGTGGTGGCGCTGCATTACAAACTACTGAAAGAAATTACCTCTCTGGAAAACATGAACGCAACTTTCTGCTTCTCAAAGTGTAAACAAACATTCAAGTGGTGTCAGATTTTAGCTCTTGTATTTGGTAAAACTCTACAGGCCATTTCTCTCTTGTACTAGACTCTCATGTTTGTTTTGGTTGTATTTACCCAAAATGCCTTGCACTATAACCCATTTCCGCTTGCATACACATATTCATTCGAACCGCCCTGGATTTTTAGGTGGAGTTTGCTTTTTGTTTCGATTGCACATTCTCTTCTCCACAAACAAATTGGACTTCCCAGGCAAACGAGCTGGAGTTCGATTAAAACGGACTAAACAGGGCTGGTGTGAATGAGAGAGAGAGAGACCAGGACTCTGAGCGATCTCTGTGTGCAACATCTAAACTGCATATTTCTCAACACTTTCCACACATTTGTCCACATCTGTAAGGTAAAAACAGTAAAAATGAAGCGCATGGCATGCAGAATTTTGCAGCTACACTTCCAGTTTGCAGACATCCTCCTCTCTCCAACTAACCCTTCTCAAGATTCAGTGTAAGAGCTTTGCCAGCTCTTTTGAAGGGGTGAGGGCTGGAGTACCGCGCCAGCCGTGCCAACGTCCTACTTCCAATGTGTGCCACGTGTAGCAGCGTCCTCCAGGCAAGATGACTTTGAACTGGCTCCCAGCTGAACCATCCCAGATCTGTGTCAGTGTCCCATTGTAGCGTCTAATGAAGCACCGCTTGGAACGACGGGATATTTTTCCTCTCACACTGATAACAGGAAATCTGCCTTTCATTAGAGCTCTGTGATTACAATTTGTTGGCAGTAAGATGCCACCCTGACGAACGCCGCCTCGAGTTCAGCCTGCTTTACTTTTCTAATCAGAACACATTTATTCACACAATCATTTATCTGCCCCCCCTGTGGTGGTAAACATCTCTTAAACTGACCTCTAGAACTGTGTTATTAATCTTAAAACGAACGTGCGGCACACAGCCTGCAGGCCGGGAATCACAGAGCAGTTCAGAGCTAATTATGGACTCAGACAGTGATCTCTCTTTTATCTCTCATATTGTATCTTAAACATTTCAGACATGCCAAAGAGCCACATTAGTTCTTATTAAGCCTCATATTGTAGCTCAAGCATGCAAATTCAGTCTCAGAGGACGGCCGCAGATATCTCAGTCACAATCTAGTCTGTTTCAAGTGATGTTTCAATTTGCGTCAGATTGAGGCGCATATTGCATTGGGTTTTTTATAGATTCGATTTTTCAGCTTAATTAAAAATGTGACGGTGAGGACAGAACAGAAAAACCCAACCTGGATATGAGGCTTTAAAGCTAAAGTACTTTTGTTTTGTACTTATAGATGTTGAAATATTTATTAGTATTCATGGTGAAGATATTCAGAAAGTCTTAAAATTGAATTAGCTTTCACTACAGTAGCATTATCTCACTCTGGAAAATATCCAACATTTAAAAATTGTTATTAATCTGGAATTATGAACAATTACATAAAAATTAAAGGTTCTGTGTTTTTGTGTCAGAGGAAATTAGTAACCAAATTATTATTTGGAATTAGGTAATTTAGCCATAAATGCACATAACTGATCATAAGATGGCAGCAAAAAGTCTTCCAACGTGCTCCTTGGTATGTGCTGAATATGCATCAACAGGCATTAAGAGTAGAAATCTACCAATTGATTTTGTAATTGATTTTGGTGAATTTTGTCAACACCCAGGTTCATAAAATCACCTGCTGTGCAATTATTGGTATTTAAGTAATAAATATGCAGCCCGCTTTGTACCTGGTGAATGTCTGTGTTTACTTAGTCTTATGTTTGGGATTCTAGTTCTAGTTCAGGTTCTAGAGATGTTTTCATGGCATAACTCCCAAATATTTGAATGCTGCTCTTTTCTACAGTCCTCTTAACAGAATGTTGGAGATTTTATTTTTCTGGCCTTCCTTTCCAACTCGTTTTATGTGTGGCAGCAGAATTAAACGCCCTGTGGCTACATGCTAAAATAAATTAGCCTCTGTGTCACATCATGTATTTACCCGAGGGGAAAAAGGGAAACTACAATCAATTTTTAGGGAACAAAAATTTTACCCTCAACAAATGTGCTCAAATTAGAAGTTGTGATTATTTTCCTGCAATAAAGGAATAATAATTTTGTGGGGTTTTATACATTTTTGACAGGGGTGCCAATATAATTGTCTGTTCATATACTGAGTGATAACATACTAATAGATTAAACTGTAATAATGTGAACCTCCAGTCGCATTTTTGTGTTTTATTGAAATTAAATTGTACAAAGGTAGTAGTACCACATCATATTCTGTGATCAAATTAAATGACTGATTCTCTTTATGTAGTAGGATGGAGAAGCCACTTGTGCAACTTTCTAAAAAAAAAATTCAGTTTTTTTTAGCCTTCTTTTGGTTTTTGGATTTGGTTGTGCGCTTTTGCTCTTTTATGGTGTAAGAAAGGATCCATCAGGATAAAACCTCAAAGGTAAAGGAACTATGAGTATTCACATGAATTAGTTTCCCCCACTTTACTGTCTGTCTCACTTTAAGATTCATGCATATTGTTTGTGTCGGTGTGAGTTCTGTGTCCACTTCATGTGAACAGAACTGACGGAAAGGTCAAACACACAATCACCTTACTTCCTCTAACGTGTCCTTTTCCCTCCGAATCCTGAAAGGATGATGAGGCGTGACAGTTTGGATTAATCCAGAGATCTGTCCCCGCCTCAGGTTGCTGATCTACGGTCAGTACTGCAGCCACATGGAGAACGCCCAGAAGACACTGGATGGGCTAATAGCAACACGGGAGGATATGAAGATTAAAGTGGAGGTAAGCTACTTTTAGCGCTAACTATGCAGACTTTTATTTAAAGAAATTACAATAAATTTGCAGGTGGGATTCAGTTCATTTGACTGATTACGTAAACATCAGCAATATCTAATGCAGTCCAGTATGCTGTTGCTGTAAAGTTTAATCTAATATAGCTTAAAATAACGGGTGAAAATTTGACACTATTTCTACGTTCATCTATTCAACAAGATTTATTTCACATCAGCGTAAAAGACAAAAAAACAAACAGAAATTATTGTGTTTTATGGAATGAATATTATTAACCGTGTGCGTGAAACTGTATAAGCAATAATGATGGGAAAAATAGAAAAAGTATGCAGTAAATTTATATGTATTGTCTGTTGAATACGGAAAGTAAAGATTGCTGCATACAGCTTCACAGTTGATGTCAAATTATTACTTTTTATGGCCAATATATTTATTTTTAGAAGAAAAATAGTCACTCTGAGTATTTACAAACTTCACTACTTTTGTTTTTATTGCTCCAATCTGCTTTGCATCTCGCTGCTGTAAAGGCTGTTCAGATGAAATGCAATTGGCTGCAAAGTTAATAAAGGTAATGAAAATGAACTTAGTCACAAAAACCTCATTTGCACTTAGCTCGCCGTAAAATGACCTGCTAGCACGGTTGCAGCGAGCTCAGGTGAAAATGTTAACGATGCTGGTGAGGCAGCAGAGTGGCTGCTTTAAAAAGGAGCAGAGTCATTCTTCTGTCTGCTGTTACCTTGAAGGAAGCCTGCTGCCAGGATTAATTTGGTGCTCACAGGCCAAAATGTTACTGCTAGTGGAGTTTCACCCTAATTAACATTAATCCAAACATCAAGAGTTCATCTGTTGTGAAGAACGGCTTAGTGTCTGAGAAGGTTCAGGGCGTCTCCGAAGAGTTTGCTAAGGAGTGGCAGCTTCTAGTTGTTATGCATGAGGCTTTTGGACCCTGGACTGGTGTCAAAGAAAGTGGAAAATGAGAAACGTTTCATTTAAGAACAACAACAACAAAAAAAAAGACTGAGGTTCTCCTCAAGGGATCTGGACCGGGCTGCAGCGGGATGAGGTTATTTCCTCAGATGACGATGCTCCCTATGAACCATCTTGGATAGGAAAAGAAAAAAAAAACCTTTCCAGAGAACCAGAAGTAACATTGCAAAAATACAAAATCTTACAAAAATCTTTCAAAATCCTAAATTTGGTCCAGTTTCTAGTGCAAATATCTTAGTTTGTCCTATTTCAAGTCCACTAACTTCAAAAAGTTGACTTATTAAGCATTTATAGCTTGCTAAAAAGTTACTTTTACTTGGTAAGATTTTGTGTTTTTGCAGTAATACGCTATGAATCCTGTGTCATGTGACAGTGGAGAATCTTGGGAATTTTTATGTGTGGCTGTGGAGAATTTTAGCTGTTTTAAAAATGTGATCAACATAAACCAACTTTACCCAACAATACAGGATCAAATCAGTGCTGAGCAAAACCTTTTTCCAGCTCAGTTTCCCAACTACTGGAGCCTTACTGACACTTTGTATAAACTTCATTTATCCCCTAATAAAATCCTTTTAAACTTGTAAAGTCTGCATTACTTATTTTGCTTCTGCCAAAGTGAAATCTAACGAATCTCGATCTGACTCGTTAAAGCTTGAGAAAAACTGCTTTTGTCTCAGAGCGTTGGCACGGCCTGCAGAATGTGAACGAGTGTCATTTCTTGTGCAGAGCTGTTGTGTAACAGTTGCATCAGCAGTCTGTGAGCAGCGAAGGGGCTCTGGGTGCCACTGACGGCGTAATGGGGTGATCACAGTCTGAGAGCCTCTCAGACGGGGCCAGCTTTGTAGCGCCCTAAATCAGCTTCTTAGGGTCTCTTTAAAGGCCTTGTTGGCGGGGAGCGATAAGCTGTTAGGTGGAAATAAGCTTCCACACAAACCGCTGCGGGGGAACAACAGCGGCTCTGTCGGCTGATGATGCAGAGTTTAATCTGTATGTTTTCATTATTTGGAGGAATTTCTTTGTCAGCATGCAGAGCAGTTGGGCTCAGTTTCTGCAGAAAAATAAAACAAACACCTCACTGTTGTTACTGGAATGTAGCAATAAATTATTTAACAATGCTTGTGGAAAATGAACAATTCCCTGTTATGCAACATGTGATGATGATGATGATGATGATGATGATGATGACCGCCTTGCTGCTCATGTTGTTCCTGCAGGAATGCACCATGAAGGTGCAGGAGGGGAAGTTCAAGCTGCAGGATCTCTTGGTGGTTCCCATGCAGAGGGTGCTGAAGTATCACCTACTACTGAAGGTAAGGAGCTCTTCCTCCTGACCAGCTGTGTCCTCCGTTTCACACCACTTAATCCCACTTTGGGCATTTGAAGAGTGAGTTGACAGATCGGCTTTAAATGCCCTGCAGCTCTGTCGTTTTCTCTTCTGTTGGACTTGAAACGCATCTCTTTGAAGATGGAGCTGATGAAAATCTTCACAGCTTTAAATTTCAAGCTGTTAATGTTTGTATCAAGTGCAGTCCTGAAAAGTTTGAAGCCTCCTAGTGGAGGAAAGCAGAAATGTCCCAGTGTCACTTTAAAAAAGGAAAAATCTAAGTGGATTTATTAAAACATCAAAAGTTGGCACAATAAGTAGAGCTCATTGTGTCAGCTGCTATAAATATGTTTCAGTTTAACATGTTGATTACGAAGTTATAATTTCCTTTACTGTTTGGTCTGGTTCTTATAGCAAAGAAAGAAACTAAACAGCTACAGAAACACAGTTTTAACACATTTCATAGTCAATCATTCACCAAACTGTAAAGAGGATTCCCATACGATGCATTAAAAAACATTTTGTCATGTTCAGTCTGCAGATTCTGTTCTTTTTCTTCGGGTTTTCTGCAATAGGACGACACAGAATAGCACCCACTGTCGAGGTGTATATATTTATAACAAATGAAGATTTTTTTTAATTGTGGCCTACATTTGTTTTTAGCCCACTGAGTCAAAGGTTTGGTAATCAACAGGATAAAACACTTACATTTCAAATTAAAAGCATGCTAATAAAACACAGGAACAGCACACAGGTTCATCTTCTGACAGACTGCTTAATGTTAGTTTGCTTCATGAAATCCAAACAAAACACTGATTACTTTTTCGCTCTTACTATTAAATAAGTGGATCGCTGTAATATCCCCCATGATTGTTTCACCCTCATCTTCCAAATCACTCGGCAAATGAGTTACTTCGCTGCAAGTCGACTGTGAACGCTGCGACTTTTCTGTTTGTTGGTATTGAACCGTTGCAGGAGCCGCAGCAAGCCTTCCAGGTCAAATCAGCCGTGCGCTAATCAGATTAAACACACCCCATTTCACCGCCTCCCGCAACTTTGCAGGAGAGTGTCGGCGCACGCGCGGCGCCCCGAGGCCGTACCACGCCGACAGGTCCTGTGTCTGTGTGGAGGGGCGCTTTCACAGGTCTAATCATGCCTGAGGGCATCGCTTCACTTAATGCTGCGTCGATATCATCGCAGCAGAGTTCACCGTTTGTTCGTGGTGTGAATAGATCCTTTATGTGCTGTGAATGAAGAGAAATCAGTATCTCCGATTGCTTTTGTTGATTTCAATCCCAGCTTTGAACTGAAAGGTTATGATTCCAGGCTTTCTTTAAACAAATGTACTTTGTGCAGAAATAATTTGCAAGAAAAGCGTCAGTGTTTTTGAAAAACATCAACAGCTGGTTTGTTTTTGTGGTTTCTTTTCTTCATAATGTATTGTAATTAGGGAATTGATTTAGTGCCACCATAACAAAGCATGTAGTTACCCTTTCTGGTTATGAAAATATGTTTTTGTGCTGTTATTGCATTCACCTGTTCATCATTTCTGCAGTAACTATATGTTAGACACTGACAGCTTTTACTCTTCTACATTTTACCCAAGAGAGATGAAATGCTATGCTAACTATGTGCAGAAAAGCCTGTTACTGTAAGCTGGTGGCTGATTATTTTTAGATATTTAGCATCAGAAGCCGTCATCCTCTGTGAAGCTCATGTATGTAGGCTGCAGCACAGGGGAATCCCTGAACAGCACCATTTACCATGTGTCACTTCAAAACTTCATTTTGTCTCATGTGAAATCAGACATTGAGGAACAAAACTGGGTGAACATGTGTCGTGTCGTAGCCTTTAAACTAACAGAATCTGAGAACCTCACTATGTTGCTTGGAAAGGCTGAGTTAGTCACTTTTAGTGTTTTATTTGCAAGCATTTCTCTGTGTGATAAAAAAAATGCCTCATTTTAGTGAAGCAAGCTTTTAAAGTAACATTTCCCAGCTGAACAGACAAGCTTGTAGCGAGCATCGGCTGACATTTTTCGCATCAGTTTTGTACATTAATGAAAAGTAAAACTTTTTGTGCCATGTTGTGGTTTTAGTGCACAGGAGAATTTCAGTCAGTTACAACATCAACAAAAAGTTGAGTTATGCTAGTAATTCAATCCGAAAAGGGAAACTTACAGACACATTTCACACAGTGATGTTTTATCTTTGATCACTTTTGATTATCATGATAAAAACCTAGTTTTCTTTAGACAATTTGAATATTCTACATTGCATCATATATTATATATTGCTATGCTTTGACATTTAGCAACATCAGGGAAAGCACTGTCTTTACACCCTCAGAAAAGAGGATAAGTTACTAAATAGAAAGCTGTTCTATTATTGGAAAGTTGAGTGGAAGGAAAAAATGTGGTAGAATGTTTGGTATTATTACCCAGAAGCAAGATGAAGCCTGTCCTCCCTGCAGCCATGCTTCCTCCTAACAGGTTGGAATAGGGATTACTTTAAGAGTGTAGAGTGTGAAATGACCACGCTTTGACATCTTGCTGAAGTATCCAGCAAACCACAAAGAACAGCAGCAATGATCACAGCACTCAGTGTCCTACTATCTCACATCAGTGTTTTATTTCTCAGATGGGCTGCAGGTCTGTTCAATTGCATCTAGGCACATTATGTTGTTCTGTTCTTCATAATGACATGATAAAAATTGAGCCGTGGGGATTATGGAGTTGCCCAGAATTCATAAATTGCTTGTTTATTTATGTTTCCACCTGATTTCAGATGGTTCTGATGAGGTTTAATGAGCTGCTGTGAAACTGAGAAAAATGTGTTATCAGAAAAAAATGAAGCTCTTGTCTTCATGAAATCACAAAGAGTATTTTCTCAGAGTGGCTCTTCAACACTGTTCAGGTTCACTATTGATTTTGTGAAGAATGCATCTGGAGAGATCTGGTTCACTTTAACAAAACACAGTAAGGATGGGAAGTTTATAGAAATTGATTTGTAATATATTGTTATCCTTCCCAGATAAAACCTGCCCTGCTACTTAGATGCAGTATGTTAGCACCTTCAACCCATCAGTGGCTCTCTTGGTACAGTTAGCACATGGCTAGTTTTGCAGAAAATGTCAAATATTCCTACTATATTAACATATAAAGCTAAAAAAAAAAATGCCAGAGGGACAAAAAAAAAGAAGATTTTTGACACCTTAAACCGTGATAAATTTGTGTAGCAATCACCTGTCATCTGTAGCTTGCTAGCTAAATATAGCTAGTTAATTAGCTAGCCAAACTGGAAACATTCCCTGTATGGTAGTGAATGGCTGAAGTGGGCACAGTTTACTCTGCTGCCAACTTGGCGACTTTATTATAACTGAAGTTGTTGCTGTGTATGGAGTTATTTACTAGCCTTTACATAAATGCTACCTGTGTTCTTAGAGTAGAGCCTCTTCTGTCTTTGCAAACCTGAACTAGTCTGAGATAAGATTCAGTAATAATGACCAACTTTTCTTTGCAGGAACTTCTGAGTCACTCGACTGACCGACCTGAGAGGCAGCAACTTAAAGAGGCCCTGGCTGCTATGGAGGTGGTTTTTCCTTTAAATCAAGCCTAAAAATGTGTTTTTTTAGAGTTTTCCTTCATTAATAATAACTGGAGTATTGATTAATTCTAGTTTGGACTACTAGAATTTATTTCATCTCCTTATTTTGCCTGTAATGTTTATTTTTAGTTTATTGTGTTATATGCTTATTACGTAAATTAGTTTCAATAAACTTGACTTTTTTACATGCACCTTTGTTTATATGCAGCCATTTGAACAGTGTGCTCTAGTTTCTATTGAACTTGAGCTTTCTGTCTCTAATCATCCCCTTCTAGGACTTGGCCATGTATATCAACGAAGTCAAGAGAGACAACGAGACGCTGAAGAAAATCAGTGAATTCCAAAGTTCAATAGAAAATCTTGTAAGTGTCACTTCTTTCTGCTGTAGAAAAAGATCTGCTAATGATTATGTCTTGTCTAAATACCTTGAAAATGTAAATATTTAATGACCTTCCACTATATAAGATAGGCTTGTGGAGCTTCTCTCACCTGTTTGGAATATAAATGCAGTGAAAAGCAGAAATGAAATGTTGCTGAGTAGATCTCCAGGCGGAACTAATGTCCAATCAAGCCTCCAACACATATCCGTAATTACCAGCTGTGCAACGCTCCGTTTCTGAGTGATAGTGCATCAGATTGCCACCCTGTGTGTCTTTATAATGTAAGCAGCAGGTGAAACTGGAGGAGTACGGCAGGCCAAAGATAGACGGAGAGCTGAAGGTGTCCTCCATCGTCAACAGAACAAAACAAGACCGGTGAGTTTGAGTTTGGTCTCAAAGGGTCAGCAGGACTGAACTGACTGAACTACAGCTCAGTACTAACAATTGTGTAACATCTGGGTAATAAAAATGTAACTATTCTGAAGTTTTATGTGATTAGTGCAATGCAATTAAGTTTTAGTAAGCTTGTAACAAGATGCTGGCAGTAGAGTTATTGTTTAGTAGTAAATATGTGATAACGAAGTAATGGTATGTAATTACCAAAAGTAATGTTTATGTCATTAATGTGTAATAAGTGTAATTACCTTAATATAATGAAATTAGCAAAACAGTTATATGTTTTCAATTTAACATAAAATAAAAGTCTAATTACATTAATAAACTGTTCTTAAAATCAAATAATTACAACATTTCATCACAAACTGCCATCTCCAGTCAGTTTTCATGTCCTTCTACTGAGTCAACAGGGTCACATCATGTCACTTCTACCCAGAACCCGTTCATCCCTGTCTGATTACTGACGTGCCACACTTTTCTGTTTGCAGCTACATTTTCCTTTTTGACAAAGTGGTGATTGTTTGCAAGAGAAAAGGCTACAGCTACGAGCTGAAGGAGATCATTGAACTCCAGCTGTACAAAATGTCAGACGACCCCATGAACAACAGAGACATGAAAAAGGTAAGAAACCAATTTGGTTTTTGTTTTGCTCTGAAATCGGACCGAGCAGAGCTGTTTGTTCCACAGTTTAATCTCCGCGGCGGCACCGCCGCCGGCGCACGTGATCAAACAGCCTGTGTAATCATTACAAATGGTGTCCTTGAGCCGAAGGAGCTTGTTGATGATAATTTCAGATACGTTTGAGTAATGCATCGAGGTGCTGATCGTGCGTCGTGCTCGTCCGTGCTTGAACAATCATGTAAATGCAATGAAGGTCATTTAGGATTCATGGAGACGTAGTGCATTGTGCCACCGGTCTAACATTGCTTTCTTTTGGTTTGGATCTGCATGACTCCGTCCATGTTTGCATGTGTAACTGGGTCTTTCTCTGGTGTCTTTCTTTTTTTGCATGCCTGCCAGTCAAGTGGAAAAATGGTAAGCCCAAGCGACTCCCTTTTATTTAACTCATCTTCTCATGGAGGCCTATTTTTGGAAGTGTTGTTCTTTGGGTGTCATGCTGTGATTGCACATGTAGCTCTCTGCTCTGTGACCTGCTCTTTTTTTTGTTGTTTTGCTCAGATGCACCGCTAAAGCATGCAAGGGATTTTTTTTTATTTCCTCCTCATCTCCGAACCAACTGTGATTACGCACAAAGCACATAAAGTTTACAAAAATTTGCTTTCATCACTAGCTTTTTTTTTTTTTTTTGTTCATCTCTGTCTGCCACTGCCATCCACATATCCCTCTTCCATCTCCCATACGCTCACTTTCTCTCTCTAGTGGTCTTATGGTTTCTACCTGATCCACCTGCAAGGGAAGCAGGGCTTCCAGTTCTTTTGTAAAACGGAAGAAAACAAGAGGAAGTGGATGGAGCAGTTTGAGATGGCCATGTAAGTATGATTACTCAGAGGAAATCAGTGCTACCTGAAGTAATGGGATTTGAATTGCAGCGCGTTGCTTTTCTGGAGTAAATTGTTTTTACGTTTAAAAAGACATTTCTGTTTTTGGCAGCACGCAACGTAGTTTAAAACTTTTACCCCATCAGAATCAGATTTCTCTTTAAGAAGCAATGTGTTGTTTAGCAGAAAAACTATTTTTCGATTAGTTTTCACTCCACGCCATTGTTTTTTATTTTTAATAAAAACGCCTGGTGGCAAAAACTTGAAACTGCTGCTACGCAACTTACTCAACAGTTTGTTGCTAGGCAACCAATATGTGAGTTAGTTTATGTTACATCCTCGCTTAACTGACCATGAGCCACAAAAGTCTTTCCTCTGCCTACATCCCCCAGAATGCTGTGTGGTTCTGGATCTGAGTTCAGTAAATGCTCTACATAATGAATATTCTGTTATATTGATCCAGATCTTGTGTATATTGTGACGTATATTGTTGTTGATCTGTCGTCCATCCCTACCTGTCGGCGGTTGCATTCTTGTCAGAATCTGCCTTGGCTGATCGGTTTATTTTACAAGAAACTATTTATTGTTCAGGTCCAACATCAAGCCTGAGAGAGCAACCGCCAACCAGCACAACTTCCAAATGCACACCTTTGATAAGAACACCAACTGCAGAGCCTGCAAGATGCTCCTGAGGTAAGACTTTTATTTCAGGGCATTTGCAGTCGGGGGTTAGTGACCAGAACAGCCTGGAAATCCTTCTTTAACTCTTACACTCCATCTTGAAACACCCTTAACTACCATTTTAATAATTCAAACACAAACTTCACCAAAGCATGCATACATATGCACTGTTGGAACCATCTTAGCATTTAGCTAACATCTACAGTCTCGTATTTCCGCTCTTGAGGTACCGCCAATCAGCTCAAAGAAAAATCAATTGGCTGCTTTGCAAACGCCAATAGGGTGTCAGGTAGTATTATGTCTACATCTACATATTTTCCCAATCTGCATTTTCTTTCAAAGATTTTAGATATACTCTACAAAAAGAATCCACAAATATTTTGCAAATAAGTCCCTTAGAAAAATCTGCTAATGCTGAAAAGATTCCAGCTTTTGGACGAGTGCAAAATTGTGAAGTAGAATGAACATTTTAAATAGTTTCCAATATTTCTTTTCACTAAAAGAAGTGTCTTGTATCTTAGTACTCATTCCCCTTTACTCTGCTGCCTTTAAATCCGTGGCAACCAAATGTAGATGACAAACGTGTGTCGTATTCCTACAGTTTCATACTTTACATATCAAAGCCTGATAAAACACACAGAAGTTTATGGATGTAGTATGACAAATTTGAAAAAGAGTTTAGATAGTTTTGTGGAGTGCAGCACATGTATTTGACATATCAAGTCATCTCTCAGAGATAAAGAAACAAAAAGAAAGAAAACTGAAGTAAAGTACCTACTTACGTCCTCAGCTAATGTCCTTCAAGCCTTCCAAACTTGGCTTTAAGACTAAAGCAAATAAACTACATTAAATCAATTGGTGAAAATACTAAAATACTCCAATTTTAGAGTGAGAACACTCTTAGCTGACAGATGTTTTTAAACATCCCAACTGTAAGCTCAAACCCGAGCTTCCTGGACTGCAGTGGGTCACGACCCGCCGCTGTCGTGGATCACCACTCTCACCTCCATCCCAGTAAGCCGGATCAGCACCGCTCTGTGTATTGACCCGCACATTTTCCCGGCATTCGCTGACCTGAATTCACAGAGCCTTCGGAGGCAGGAGCCAGCCATCTAGATGCTAATTAGTGCTGCATCTCCCGGTGGATCCTGCCGTGATTTATGGGAGTCGGTATTCGGCGCGGCAGCATTGCTATGCATGCAGTGTTTACTGTGGACATTACAGGAACACCTCCGGACCGCAGGGGTCAAAACGAAACCTGCATGCTTTATGGTTTTAAAGAATAACAGCAGGAAACGATGAGAAAGCAGCCATATTTGCCAACTGGAAGAACAAGGAGTTAGACTCTAACGCTGGAGGTTAATGTTTGTCTGAGACACTTCCTGTTTGCATTACAGCTCTGAAAGTTTGCGTGCGTGTGTGCGTGTGTGTGTGTGTGTGTGTGTGTGTGTGTGTGTGTGTGTGTGTGTGTGCGTGCGTGTGTGTGTGTGTGTGTGTTTCCTCCAGGGGCATCTTCTATCAGGGCTACTACTGCTCTCGCTGTGGAACAGGAGCTCACAAAGAGTGTCTGGAAGTGATCACCATCTGTAAAATCAGTAGGTGTTTTCTTTCTTAGAGCATCTGTTATTCACTTTAGGTTTATGGAGTTAAGAGGTGCTCTTTGGGAGCATTCTGACAAAAACCTGTGTGGCAAATAGTAATGCTAATGGTCTATACGATGACAGTCATCGGTCTAAATCACAGCTCCTTTCCCAATGGTTCTCACTCCTGGGAATATGTGTAAAAAGCCTGAATGTATCTTTTATTGCAGCGGCATCATCTTAGGACAGCACTTATAACGTTTTACAGGGTCGGAGTGTACAAGCACATGGATGTGTAACCATCACTCTTTGTGCTACTTTTACAAGTCCTGCTGGGTTTTCTGAAGGATTTAGATCTGGGGACAAATATGACCATCAGTCAGTGTTAGTTTTGTGTCTGGTGAAGCTTTTCTGTATTGATTTTGTTGTATGTTTTGGTTTATCATCCTGCTAAAGGATCAAAGGATGCTTTATGCTTTAACAAGACTTCTGGAATAAAAACACAGCCCACAGCACCACAGCTCCTCCACCATGCTTTCCACTGGGCATGAGAAGCTTTTCCACATATTCATCCTTTGTTTTACGAGTGTTTGATGCTGAAAAGTTCAGTCCTTATTTTATGAGACCAAAACAGATGATTGCAGTTAAAGTCCAAGGGGAGTTTAGCAAAATCCAATTGTTTGTTTATGATGCTAGACCAGAAAATCCTGTTTTCTTTAAATCATAGTAGCATCACTGTTGACACCATGCTAAAGTTCCCAGGGCTTTTGGAAGATAAAACAGCCCCACAGCATCACAGATCCTCCTCTTTACTTAAAAGTGGGAATTTGAGGTGTATTCAAAGTTTCCAGATTATTGTAGAGTATGTTTTCTTTTTATGAAAAGCTTAGTTTAATTTTATTTCATTCCATTTTGTGTTCAATTTAAGGTACAAATGTCCAGAATCAATAGATAATTAGCCTAAGCTAATTAGCATTGTCAGTCCACAGAGGTTTTTCTAAATAAAACCAAACAAATTATATATTTTTACAGTTTAATATCATTTAATGACATTTAATATCCTCATACAGTTTAACAGAAGCCACATACTTAGGATGGTGATGGTGAGAGAGCCTGTTAACCTCACTGAATAAATGCAGTAAACTAAAAGATAAATATACATTTTTACTAGTGTGACATTGTGTGGTTGTATTTGTGTCGAGGTTTTTTACACATGTTTACAAGAAGTAGCAAGAAGGTAAACATGGCATCCAGGAAACAGCAGGAGAAACCGGGAGGAAGGTGGGATTAATTCATTGTGTCGTTGAGTTTGGTACCAAAGAGGGAAACAGCAACTGGGAGTCAGGATGAATCATGGGAAAGCCGTTTCAGACCCCACAGGGGGGTTCAGACTTGGTTTTGGCATTGCTGCTCTGTAAAATTAATGATCAATTTTAACAGATTTTCTATCGGTATTGTTGGATCCTAAAACAGCAAATATCAGTTTTTTTTCTTTTTAAACACAAGCTTAAAAAATGTAATTTGTGTGTTGCAGCATATTTTCACACTATCATCCCGTTTCCAGATGGATTATTCTTAGCTATCCCTTCAGGGGGATTCACAACCCCAAATGTGTCCCGCAGATTTCTTCGACTTTAGCTCAGATGAGCATTGAGGTGTTTATGTTATATTAAAGTGCATGTCAGTTTAGCAGAGGAAACCTGATGTAAGCATGGCAAAAAGAACCAAACAGAGCTGCTAGCACAAAATTAAATATTGTTTGCCACCTCCATGCTTCCTGATATAAAGTCACATATTTGTGAATCTGTATTTAACTAGAAAACACACTATATTGCTTATTAAATTATAAAATAACATTATTTTTTCTTGTTTCAGATCCTCACGATATGGTGAGTTTACTTGTTCTTCTAAACAGCAAAATTCTCCTCAGTTAAAGTTAAACATACAATATTTAATTTAAGCTATGATAAGTTTCTGATTTTGCATTTGTGTTTGTTTTGCAGGAGCCTGGAATGTCACCAGGTCAGTTTTCTCCTATCTTTCAGCTGAGGCTTGATTTTTCTGATAACTGTCCTGCTTGTTGTCACAGCTCTCTGTCGCCATCTTCTGGATATTTCAGGTTAACCTCATGAGCTCTTCAGCGTGAGAGCCAATGGATCAAATATTATGAGTTTAATCAGAACTGGTCCAAAATTATACAAGGCCTTAAAGAGAATTTAATTTGAGAGACCTAAAAAAGATTTCTTACACACAGATTTGATAAAAAAAAACTAACTTGTGGTTCAAAAAGGGCTCATAAATGTTCTACTTTAAGTCGTTATGCAGTCTATATCAGGGGTGTCAAAACCTAAAACATGGCCTACATTCTGGACAAAACACTATTGCATAACTATTTTTTTTTCATAACAGTAAAATATTAGTGTTGTGATTTTTTTTTTCTTCATTTAACCTGGATATAAATACTCCAGTGAGTATCATATCAAAAAGTAAAAATGTTATGTTTTCCTACAAAAACAAAAAAAAGTTGAGTGGAAGGAAAAAGTGTGGATTTGTACATGAGGAAAAGCAAGTATTTCAGTAGATTTGTTATATATAGTCATTTAATTTTGTTCACGTTAACTGTGACAGCTTAGGGCTAAAGTAATAGTAACTTCAATTCATGAATCCTCCAAATAAAAGATCAAAAAAGGGAACACACACCTTTTGACAGCTAGCCAAAATATTTATAAATAATAAGTTCTGCAACCAAATATCACTATACAGAATAAATTATGATTATAGTGTGTTTACTTTAGACAATTCATGCAGTATTTTGACTCATAAATGCCAATTTAACCCTTCCCTCAGTTTTTAATGGAACTGTTGCTTTCTGATTTTTCTCCAAATTGTTTCTAGGTCCAAAGATGGTGGCTGTGAGGAACTACCACGGCACACCGACGCCTCCAGGGAAGACGCCTCTCTGTTTCCAAACAGGAGACTTCATCGAGCTGCTAAAGGGGGATCCAGACACCCCGTGGTGGGAGGTACAGATGCCCCCACTCAGAGTCCAAAAACCAGAACATTTACTGACAAAACAAACCCAAATTACAAAATTAGGTACATCTGATAAATAGTTTATCAGTATAAATATATGTAGCTGCAAAACTGAGTTCTAACAGTTTTGCAGTCTGGAGCAAATCTGTAGGAGAAAATAAATAAAAAAAATCTTCAAAAAGGTTAAAAACAAACAAAAAATCCATAAATCAAATCAGACATTGAAAATAAAAAAAAAATGATTGAAATTGAAGACTTTTTTAACACAAAAGTTTAATTTACAGTCCAAAAACTGATTTTTTATTTGTATTTTTTTATTTAGGCACAACCATTTCTGTTTCAGTGGCTTAGTAAGCACCATCTCATATTTAGTAATCGCCCTTTATCTCATGTTTCTAAGACATCTTGGATCAGTAAACCAATTTAATTCTGGTCTTATCCAAGCAGAGACCTCCCCATCACATGCAGGTTTTAACTGTTTATTTTCCAGTGGTACTTTCTGCTTTAAATACACTGCAGGAGGTCGCAGATGGCTTAAACTCAGCTCAAGCTCAGTTGTTGCAGATAAGCTGCCATTTTATGATTTAGCCACTAGAGGCACCGACTGGCATCTCTTATTGCTTAAGATGTGAATTAATGACACTAATTAGTCATTAATTAGACTAATTAAAGAATACATGCCTGTATTCTTTCACATACAGGCATGTTTTAACACAAAGACATCGGTCATGATGTTCAAAACAAACATCAATGCGGGTTTGTTTTGCATAAACTTCGAGTTGACTGAGCATTTCTGTATGTTAAAGCTTTCTGTGGTGAAATAATCGGTGCACCATCTGAAATCTAAAGCTTGGCCAGAACTGGGTCATCAACAGGACAACAGACACAAACACAGCAGCAAATTTATGGATGAATGGCTGGAAAACAATAATCAAAGTCCAGACTTCAATCTGATCATCATATCCTAGTGGGACGTGAAGCAAGAAACGACAGAAAACACCGAAACTTATTGATGCTAAAGCAGTTCTACCAGCTTTTCAGTCTTTTTCCCGCCTTTTACTAAAAGAACACAGTTGATGGTGTATTGAAAACAGACAGAGCTTTACTGCCAAAGCTGATTAACACATTTAGTTAATTGCTAGGCCTTGATATTTCTGTGAGGAGTCAGCTGAGACTTATGGAAGTCATTAGTTTCAGGATGGCTGGAAAGCCTTCTAGAAACTGTTATTTTTACACTTCTGTCAATAATACTAGAAACATTAACACATAAACCTGCAATTTACTTTATGTTCCTTCTTTTTTATTTGTGTTTTACATTTGAAAATAGAAGGAGCGGCTCTGCTGATTGCATTGTCTTATTAAGACCTGCAGAGGTGATTTCTCTATTATAAATAATTCTTTTACATGATGGTTGATGTCGCTGCAGGGTCTCTCATTGTCTCGGCGGCATAATCGATTTTTATCCACTAATGTCGGGCTCTGCTTTTCCAAGAGCGACTCGGGGCGACTTTGTGATGCCGTGAATTTATCTTGGCTATTAAAGTTGGTTATTTCTCTACAGAACGCTGGTTTTAATCTCTCTGCGCGAAGTCGGAGGGCTGCTGCGGCTCCCGATCGATCGCTGCAGGGAGGAAACGGTGAAGGCACTCCAGCTTCTGTCTGACGCTGATGAGCAATCTTGATGGATTCGTTGCCTTTTTAGTGAGACCTGTCAGAATCCAATCTGATGTGGTGGATGTAGCATCTCTCAAACTGGTTTACTGGCTTAGTTTTAGCTCATTGTATCAGGAGAGCAAAAGCTTTTGCTTTATTTAAACCTGTTGCCTGCATTAACTTATGATGTCGCCACTAGGGGGCAGCAAAGATTCACATCTTATGGACACACTAGTGCAGCTGGAGGAGTTTTATAAACTCATTATATAATTCAAGATATTTAACCCCTTGTTCTTAAAACCGGTTGGCTTTCTTCCATAAAATCTTTAAAAAAAAAAAAAAAAGATGCAATTTTTCATTATGTTATATTTTTTTTACATTTTATTTCTGTCTTGCAGGGGAAGCTGATACAAACACAAAAGAGTGGCTTCTTTCCCAGTTCATGTGTAAAACCTTACTTAGACCCGAAGGTAGGTTTTTACTCTAAAGCGACCGTTTTACTGCCTGTCCAACATAAACTGGAAGCGTATTCAGCAGAAATTCAGGATCATTTCTTCAGGCAAAATGTCCAGAAAATGCAGCACAAAAAGCTTTTCCATTTTATAACCTTACAGCCACCAATTTAAAGGTATTTTATGAGATATCGACTTATTAACACAAAGTTAAGGCATCATTTTTAAATGGAAAGAAAATATTTAACAAAAGAAACATTGCATTTGTACTGTTTTAATCTAATAACCCCAACTAAAATTGTCTGCATAGAATTGCTTTATTATACAAATGCTTATCCTTAACACACCATCCCTATGTTGATGCTCGGTGGTGGCAGCATTATGTTTTGGAAATGCTATAGAGATATGACTAAATACTGGGCAATCCTGGGAAAAGAAAACCTTAAAAGCAACAAAAATAACTTGAAATTCAGCAGAACAACCAAAACATGAACCCAAAGCGAGCAGAGAGGTTTATGTTGAAATGAGAATTTCTTCTAAACATTAATGATAGAAGGAAGTTGAAAATAAAGCGCAGCCAAAACTTTTCACATTTTATTCATGTTGTTGCCATTAGAGAATAAACTGAAGTCTGTGCAGTGCAAACAAAACACCTTTAGGTGTTGTTGGTCGTTTCTCTGAATTATGAACTTTATTTCATGTTAGCCATTCCCATACAGCCTCCTGTGCAGGTCGGGCTTTTAGCCCTCGCCGTTGCTTCCTGCTGTAGGGTGGCATCTCGCCGTCATCCACATTCAGAATATTCCTATGAGATGCAAATCCTCCAGTTAAGCTCGACTCGAAAGTGAAAGCCTCCCATGTGCTGAGCTGTTCCGATGTGGGCCGGCTCTGCATGGAGGGCTTCCACTAATGAATCATAACTAATCTCAGCAGGAGGAAACTGAGGAAAACTTAGAAACATTTTGCAGTTTGTTTAAATCTAACGTCGTCTGGTTGTTTGTTTCTCTGCATAATGCATTCCTTCCTTCGTTTGTTTGTGACAGCCTTTCCAGTCATTATCCAGCCGGCAGTCATCAAGAGAAGCAGACTACTATGGATATCCTTGGTATGTAACTCTTAACATCTCAGCGTTTTAGATTTAAAGGGCCGGGACACTAATTTTTATCATGCAGAGCTGCCATTAACCACTCTGACTCCCTATCGAACTATCAATCTGTTGATTTATCCTCTGGTTTTTCAGGTTCCATTGTTAGATCCTGACCTCTGTAAAATTATGTACAATAAAATTTTATGTTCATAAAAAGAGAGAGAGAATTCTAGGAATTTGATTCTGGGAAAAAATTATAATAATTAGAGCATGCCATCAATTCTTCTTCTTCTTCTCCTTCTTTAGGTTTGCAGGGAACATGGAGCGCCAGCAGGCGGACAACCTCCTGAAGTCCCACTGCAGCGGGACGTACCTGATCAGGGAGCGGACGGCCGAGGCTGAGCGCTTCGCCATCAGCATCAAGTGAGCATTTCACAGAAAGCTGGAGGAGAAGCTGGTCCGGCTCTTATTTATATCCCAGGGAAGACAGAAAGTGTCTCAGGAAACCCCGGCCAGCTTGTGCAGAGCCCGTTTCTGGCTCCAACTAATTTCCATAATTGCTTTTTTGGTTTATTTTCTCTCTCCTTGGAGACGGTGCTCCACGCAGATATTGTTGTTTGAGCTCTTGCTGGAGCTGTCACATAGTGATGAATTAGGGTTGTATTCGCAAATTTGCTTCCAAGCCTTTAACACAGGTGCAAAAGGACTGCGGGGACGAGCCTCTCATGTATTTGCATAAGTGAACAAATCTTTACCCTTTAGAAAACGACTTCAGTTGCGCTGTGTTCATAAAAGTATTACGCCGGAATAAAACTTTGACATTACGAATCAGGAGGTTTTCAGATTGATTACATCAGAGTCTCCTCCTCCTCTGTGCAGATTCAACGATGAAGTGAAACACATCAAGGTTATCGAGAAAGATAACTGGATCCACATCACTGAAGCAAAGAAGTTTGAGAGTCTTCTGGTAAGGAAGGAGCTACTTTTCATGTTTCCGTTCAGATACAGTCATTTAAAAACCATAAATTTCAATTTCTGGATATGTAGAATAACACTTTAGGAATCCCAGACCAAACTGCCACAACTCCAGTTCATGCCTTGAACTTTTACGTTGAGTTTCCTCATGGAGTGCGAATACTTTTGCTCACGTTGTGTGTGTTGCCATGCAACAGGAGCTGGTGGAGTACTATCAGTCGCATTCACTGAAGGAAAGCTTCAAACTGCTAGACACCACGCTGAGGCATCCCTACAAGTCCAGAGAACGCTCGCTAACTCGGGCTAGCACACGCTCACCAGGTAAAGTTCCCCTCAGCAGCGCTTCCAAACTTCCTGCTAGCAAACATGAGGTCGATTCCAACACAACCCGAAACCTGCAAACTCCATCTGAGAGCATGTTGCTTGATTTCCTCCTGCTTTGTTTCACTTCCTGATTCTGTGCTGGATTAGAGACTTGTGAGTAATTAGGGTGAGAACATAACAAATAATAACTGAAGTTGGTTTAATCAGCGTCTTTTGCTCTCATAATTGGATTGCAGCTTAATGACGACGATGAAACTACAATGTCCAGTGGTTCACTGTCAGGGCTTCGTTGTTAAAACCCCTTTTGTTGCTTCACTTGTGATGAACCGGCTGGTCAGTTGGTCACAAACATCACCAGGAAGTTTAGGCAGCGTGGAAGAAAAGATCTTCCCTTTGGGAAAAAATGAAGAGTTTATACTTTTCATTTTGTGACTGTTGAATGTACCAGATCCAGATCAGTTCATTCAAACGTGAGAGCGTCCACAGTATAGAGCTCTCCCAACACTTACTGGTACCGATGGTAAACATGTTTTTGTTGAACGTTGTTGTGTCTGTGGTGGTATTCACTGGGGCTGGACCGCATTAAAAGCACATAGAGCTGCATATTTTATAGTTCAAACAACAAATATACCTCAATATGCTTTAAACAAACGTCTCAGATCCCAAAGAGGCATTTTCTTTAGAATATTTAGACATGCGGGATGAAAAATCTGTGAATCGGAATCATGCCCCACAGAAAAATGTGAACTTTTCTGTGGCGTGAGATTGATGTTGTCCTCTTCCACCACCAGGACAGCACTTGATTTCCCCCTGTGACGTTTCACCAGGTTGGAACAAACAAAGCAGCCATTCCTTTCTGCACATCTCTGCATTGTTCAGAATCCTGGCTCCTTGCTTTGAGCCTTCTTCTGTGATGCCACTGTGATGTGGAGCTCTGCAAGTTCATCTCTGCGCCCAGAGATGAACTTGCTTTTCCCCACATGGCCGCCTGGCTTTATGACTGATGATGGCTTTGGTAATGAGCCTTTAGGGGAGCGAAATATGCAGCGGATGCTGCGTATTTGTGGTAACTTTGGGTAAAACAACAGACAGACTAAACTCACTCCCACTCACTTTGGCTTTCCTGGTGTTCGGCTCCTGCCAATTTCAAAGCTTCTCTTGACTCATACAAAGAGTAATTGAGGCAGGCCGGTGGGGAACAGAGAAGAATAGGAAGATGACACAGTTAAATGCAGGAGTGCGGGATAGAAAATGGAAAGGGAGCTAACCCAGAGGTTTGTGGAGCCACAGAACTGGCTGCCGTCTCTGAGCATCAGACTGTATGAATACTGGCTCTGTCGCTGCGCTGGCGTCTGTCCTGCTCTGCCTTTGTTCTCTCCCCTCACCCTGAAGAGTGACCCTGCTTCCCTTCTGTCTCAGCTAAATTTAGAAGCTCTCCTAACCTCCACTCTGCAAAGTGTGCTGATTTTTAAGATGCAGCTGTGTCCTCTCACCGTTTAGACGTGAAAATGGCTGAGACTAAAAAAGAAACTAGTAATAAGAGACTTTATTTCAGCCTTTTCATTCAGCTCCACTACGCCGCTAAACAACTGTGGGAAGCTCAGACGATGATGTGACTTTGACAGCTTCCTTGGTGTAAATTCCAGATGGCAGAAGGTGGCACACTCAAAAACTCAACAGGAATTACCAGCCGTCCACCATAATTACTTAAATAATTAGTTTAATGGTCAAACATGTTAACTCTGAATAACAGTCCCATGTTTACCTTCACCGTGGGACAAAAAAACAAACTGTATTCTATTTACTTACCTATGAATGAGCCACAGATGAACTCTGTAAATATGCAAATTTGCTCGTGGAATTGTGAAATTTATCTTCTCTTCCTGCGTTTCCTGCTTTAGCTCAGCATGCCTGCATCTCAAAACGTCTTCCAGCTTCATTTCTTCTCTTGTTTTCTTCTCTCCCTCTTTCTCTCTCTCCGTTTCCTCCTATCAGCAGCAACCTGCGCCTCCTACAATTTCTCCTTCCTCAGTCCACAAGGCCTGAACTTCTCCTCTCAGAGCTCCGCTCCCTTCTGGTCAGGTACTCCTTTGTGCTCCCGCTGACTTCTCGCTCTTGTTAACCTCAAATTACCTACTCAGCATATCTGCTCTCATGCTCATTACTTCTTCTCAGAGGCACTTTTCATTGGCAACACTGCAATGTTTGCAAGAATTACATTTTATTCATTAAATGAAAGAAAAAAATGTTTTTCTGTTTTATTCCCATGCTTGCTTGTCATTTTGTACAACAGGTTTCATATGTAATCGTTACAAATAGTAATTTTCATTACATAACAGCGGGAAAAGCAAGTACTTTTCAGGTTTTTTCACTTACAATGAATAGCGAGGTCTGTTAAAGACCTAATCAATCACAGACTTGTTCGTCCATCTTTAGGAACCTCTCCTAACAGTTAGGTGAGAAAGCAACAATTGTTGACACAATTATTTGAAAATGAAAGGAACTCAAGGTGACTTTCAATCTCCCTCGGACTGAAGCTTCTTGCAAGATCTCGTTTCGTGGAGGATCAAAAAGTATGGATCAGAAAACAGAGATCAGCTACAATGACCTTGGACCACAGTCTCAAAGGCTGCTATTAGTAACACACTACACCACCATGGATTAGCATCCTGCAGCACATAGCATTTATCCAGAACCATCAGATGTTTGCTAACGACTGATATGCCAAAGGAGGCATGGGAGAAAGTCATGTGGTCGGATGAGACTGGAAACTTTTTTGGTACTCACTCCATCCAAGAAAGATGAGTACAATCCCAGGAACATCGTCCTAAATATCCAGCTGTGGGGGGGAAATGGCTTGATTTGGGGAACCAAGACTGCACCATTGTGTAGAGGATGGATGGAGCCATGTGTTGAGAGATTTTAGGCAACAGTCTCCTTTCACTAATCAGTTTGGGTCTTCAGTGGTTCATTGGGTCTTCAGTAGACCATTGACAGTTGTCCTGGTCTGAGTCTGTCTCTCACAGCTGAGGTGTACCTACAAAACTGAACTTTAATACTAGCTTCCTAGAGTAGAGGATGTCAAAATCTGAAATTTGTGTGGAACAGGATGACATTTTGACAAATGAGACGTGTTGGATCCCCGTTTATGCATGTTATCAATGCCCCCACTGTTTCCATTTCCCAGTGTTTACTCCTCGGGTGGTGAGCACGGCAGTGGCCAGATATAACTTTGCAGCACGCGACATGAGGGAGCTGTCCTTGCGGGAAGGAGACATCGTCAAAATATACAGCAAAATTGGCGGAGACCAGGGCTGGTGGAAAGGAGAGGCTAACGGACGGGTAAGTGCTACGATAAAAGTCTGAAACAGCCGAGATTAAATTTAATGATTGAACCACTGAAGACCCTAAAGCAGGTGGCTGGCAGAACCTTTCTGTGAAACGTGGATAGCATGTCAGTACTCTGTTTTGGAAATTTGTCCCCATTAAGCTGCACATTTGACCGTCCTAATGCGCTCCTGTGGTGACAGGAGGAGTCCATGCTCTAAGCTCCCGCAGTCACAAAGCCATAATTTTCTGTTTCAACTTCTTGAAATGGTCTGATTTAGATTTTTTTTTCCATGCTGTGTTACCACTTCTGCTCCTAACTTTATTTGAAACTTTAATAGAAAAGAAAAACTCCATGTTACTTAATGAACAGCCAGAGTAAACCCTGTAGCTGCAGCCGCTTCGAACCTGATTCTCTTTGCTCAAACATCTGAGCTGCAAGATTCTGTTGTGAGAAGTTTTACCATTTCAGCATGGGCTTCGTTTGCTTCTCATCTCACATTCAGTTGCTATGCCAACAGGGCTTCAGCCAAATAATTGACATATATGCTGTCGGCATTTAACTACAACCACCTGCAGAAAGCAACTCATCCATTCCCTCAAGTTATCCATACCTCGTCCCTTGAAAGTTAGGAAAGGAGTTATTATCTTTGGACCTATAGAGGAATGATGAAGAGTCAGCATGCAGCTTTAGTTATTAGAGTTAGGAACTAGTAATCAGGCCCAAAATCTGGGTGAAGATGGACCTGAACCTTTAGAAACACATAAAGATTACTACAAAGTCAGCCTTCCATCACCTGAAGAACATTTCTTAATTAAAAGACGAATGTCCCAGAAAGATCTGAAGGAACTCATTCATACATTTATCTTTAGTCTGCCTCAAAAATCAGAATGCTGCAGCTCGAGTTCTCACTAAAACTAGGAAAATAGAGCACAGCACCCCAGTTCTAAAGTCCTTAATGTCATGCACTAAGACATTAAAAAACACCCCACACTCTCATCCTCCTACCACTTCCTGTTGTATTCTTTGTCAATTCCACCAGTATTGACATCTGGATGCTGATCACAACTCGAGTGATGCAAACGCAGCTTGTGGCTTCCTGTACCTCAAAGAATAGACTTTTTGTTTTGCCTTTAGTGCTGACAGTTTATAAAATACTGATGTAGTTTGTTGAGCAACAAAATACATTAAAGACCTGTTGCCATTGTACCAACCTTCAGACGCCTCAGATCTTTTCGTTCGAGTTTGCTCTGCATCGCCAAAAATCAGAACCAAACATGGAGACGACCTCTAATTTGACCATAGATATCAAAGGGACAAAAGATATTCCCCTGTGTGGAGGAAAGGGGATCGTCTTGTCCTTCAAGTCTTTGGGGACACACGTCTCTGAGGACAGTCAGTCTGTCTGTCACGCTGCTCAAAGCCTTCTCTCCCTGCGCCACTGAAAACCTTTGTGCAAACAGTATCACAGCGTAGCTTTCGAGTCTAATAGGAAAATCCTCAGGAGAGCCATGAATACATCCTGAGAAAATCATCGCTCTCTTATCCCAGACTAGATGACATTTTCAGAATACGCCACAAGCAGCAGACTCAGAGCTGAAACTTGTCATCAGCTCTTCTGCCATCTGGCAGGTGCTGCAGGGTCTTCACAGCCCACACCTCAGAGCTGAAAAACTGCTTCGTTTTTCTGTTTTTTTTCCCCCTGACACTGAACTCAACTTATAATCACTTCCCACTTCTTCTGTCACCACCTTCATCATCATCATGCTCTCAGTATCGGGCTGTTAGCTGCCTATTTTTACACCTGCACTACCTGTGGAACATTTAATTCTTCTTATATGTGCAGGACACACGTTACATTTTATCTTTACAAAAAAAAAATTATGCTCTCTAGTTTGATGTCTTTGTTAATTTTTATTGCTTTTGTTAAACAATAACTCTTTTTGGTTTTTCACACCAAATGCATTTTACGCATCTAGCTCGGGGCGATTTGATGCGCTTGGAGCGTTTGAGCTCAAAGTCTGGTTTCTCTTCTAGAAAACTTAAAATAGATAGTAGTTCTGTTTTAAGCAGGATGTTGATTCAAAAATATCTGTTCACACAGCAGGCAAACGCGACCCAAATTCAGGTTTTTTTTGAGGATGTGTGATCCACATCTGAATTTTTCCTGGCAGTCTGAACGACTCAAATCCGATGTTTTCGTCCTCTGGAAATCTGAGTTGTGCACGTCGAACTAAACCGGATGCGGTCGTGTCGCATTTCATCTGACTTCTATGTCACAATTCTGAACCAGAAGAAGCAAAACGACATAAATGTGGACATAAATAATGAAAAATATGAAATAATTCTGTCAGTGAAGCACATCACTATCACAAAAATGGCAACTTTGTCAATCCCGATTATCTGTAAGTATGAAAATGAAACTGACTCTGAGAGCTGATTTCCAGCTGGATGTTTAGTGTTTACCCACAGATGGGTGCTTGTACAGAAAGTACATCCTGGTGTCTAACTAAGCGTCACTCATTGTTAGCAAAATGTTTATATTTCTGCAGGCGAGGAATAAATTAACTCAATTAACACGGCTGCTCTGTGTCCCGTTTGCAGATCGGATGGTTTCCCTCCACCTACGTGGATGAAGAGGGAGTGCAGTAAAGCTCCACTCGCTCGCCGGCGAAGCCAGTTTCCTTTTGAATCGGGAACCAAGTTCTATCTGCTGTCCTCAGAGGAAATGACTCACTCTCTCCAGGAAAAAAAAAGAGCAACATGCCTTTTGCTGGAAACTTTTTCTGCAAGAATTTTTACTCGGTTTCTTAATTTCCCCCCTCCCATCCCTCTATTATGCATCAGCTTTTGTTTTTTTTTTTTTTGCAAGGTGTCCTGTTTAAGTTCTATACATGGAAGGAAAAAAGCTGCGTTGCTGTGTGTCCGCCTCCGTGTGCTCAGCAGAGAATTTACTATAACGAGGACGCAGCAGGAACTTCTTGTCGATAGCTTTATTTTGCAAAAAGAAAAACGCTCCCCTTTGTTGCAGGTCTGTGCCAGGTGAATTAATTGTACAGTATAGATAATTTATTGAATAGAGATTATTATCAGTACTAATGATTATTGTGGGGAGTCGGATCAGACGAACTAAAATAAGGAGAGAGAGAAAAAAAGCGAAGCGGTGTTTTCACGTCAAGAGATTTTTTTGCCTTAGTTGTCATGGTGATGCCTTGTGGGCTGACACCAGTGGATGGAATCGACTTTGTGGACTGGTTTTTACTTCTCCGTGTATGCATGTGCCCACATACACACACCCACACACACACTCATGTACACACACATTAAATAGAAATGTACAGTACGGTGCCTTGAGAAAAAAAAACAACAAAAAAAAAACGGTGGCGCATCAGTCGGTGAAGTGAAGAGGCTCCCGGTTCGTCCACAAGCACAGGACTTTACTGACGGGGCTGCGCGGCGCAGATCCAACTTTAGACATCAACTCCAGACTGGATGGACTCACACAAAGCAGCTTGTTTGGTGGGGGGGTTTAGCCCATCACACGCACAGCTCACATCTGTGGAGGTGTCACAGTCCTGTGGGATGCAAAAAGGGAAAGACGTTCAAACCTAATGTCACGCTTTCTAAACCTGTACGCATCGTTCCTTCGTCGTTTCCTGCACAGAATCACAAGTTGTTTTTGAACTCCAGAGGCGAAGCAGCAGCCAAATCCAGCCGTGCTTTGAGTTTTCTACCTTGCCTTAATTGTTTTTTTGTTTGTTTTTTTTAATTATTTGTTTCACACGGTTCATTAACCTCACTCTGATCAACATGTTTATGTGGCGAATTCATTTTCAGGGCTCTCCATTTCCCCTGAAAGCAAAAACTGGGACAGTTGATGTGCTTCATGTTTTGTTTTGGTCCCAGTCGATTCCTGGTGCTAAAATCACGTCACAATCAATTAGTGTTGCTTTTCTCTGCATTTTTTTTATTGCACCTTTATTTGAATCAATTCTTTAGAGTTTCCATAATTATTTTTTGCCGACCTCTACAGTGAAAGCCATACTTTTTGCAGCAAAAATCTATAGAAACGCCTCAGTTTCTACGATTTCTGAGGATGGAAATGCAAACAGGAAGCACACCAGCTCCGAGCGGATCGGACTCCTCTGGAAACGTTCGAGTGTTGGTTCAAAAACACAAACAGGGCTGCTGTGTTTGGAGAAAACCAGGGAGAGTTGGTGGAGGCGGCTGATCGTCAGGGCTGTAGTCGTTTTGTTTTGTTTTTTGTTTTGTTTTTTTACAAGGTGGAGAAAAACCCATTGCATGTGACTGTTGATATGTCGACTCCTGTCAGTTCATCCCAGAAAAAATGAAACACCTGATCGTGTTTTTTTGAAATGGTTGAGTATTTCCAAATGAGGTCTATTATGAAATAAATATCTCTTTTGATTTAAAGCGTGAATACTTTTTTTCCCCCTCACGAGAAATACTTCAGCAATTCAATTAAGACATTTACGTTCATTTCGTTTATATGGATGCGTTGCACACATACTTATATATTAAATTCAAAAGATTTGATTTCTCTGGCTATATTTTCTCTTATTGCTAATGTACCATTTTCCAACTATTTTTTTCTTCCACTAAACTTTCCTCTCATATTTTGATGCTTATCAGCTTGTAAATTTCCATTCTTGTGAAGAGTATCAACTGTGAACCCCACATATGATGCTGCAGGCCTCAACATTCTTGTACTTTTTAACATTTTTCCTACATAATATTCAAATTTTCTAAGAAACTGGATTTGGGTTTTTCTATTGAGTCATAGCTATCGAAATTACAAGAAATAAATGCTTGAGATAAATTGTATATATATGTATATATATATATATTTATATATATATATATATATATATATATATATATATATATATATATATATATTTTTTACACTTTTTAAAGTGTCAAAAATGTGTTTATTGCTATTTTTAAAATTCTGATACACTGGACATTTTGCCCTGCATGTACATTTAACTTCCCTCTATATTCTTTTCCTGTCCAAACGGCCCTGCAGTGTCCAGGTTAAAGTCCTCCAGCGTCACGCTGCGTACCGCTGCATGTTTGTCCTTGCTTGTAGCTGGAGGGATTGTGTGTGAAATAGGTGACATCGTTCTGATCCGCCCAGCTGTAAGCGGTTTGCGGACCGGTGTGCCGGCTCACCGGGCGGCTGTCGGGTGGCCCCACGTCCTCCCTGTTAAACGTCATAAAAGAAGAAGAAGAGGAGAAAGAAGTGAGCTTGAAGTATTTTGAGGAGACAGAAACAAAAGAAAGCTGCTGCTTCCAACTGAACGTCCTTAAATGTCTTAAAACAAAAGACCTTTAAATCTCACAACACAGGCACCAAACCCACTCGTTTGAGAATCATTTCATGCTTTTTCCTTTAGAGATGCTGAGATGATCATCGATTTACCTCTCTTGCTGACTCTTTAAGGTCCAGCTTTTTCTCATGAAGATTACTGACTCGACACCGAAGGGGCAGTAACTTTACCCTTGTCCTTTGCTACCGTTAAAATCTCGGTTTTAGCATTCTGAGCTTCATCTCGTTTAAGGATAAAGACATTCAGGACAAAACTTTGGATCCAACGGTTCTGTGCTTTTATGCGTTTCTTTGAAGCCACTGATGGAGCTGCTGCTGCTTATTTTGTGTACTTTTTTATTTCCCATAGAAAGTACACCCTGCTCAGTATATTTGTGTTTAGCTGTGTCTCCTAGAATTCAGTTACTGTCTATTTTATTTTTGTTTCTTTCAAAAGAAAGTAGTTGTGACCCCATAACTCCTTGGACAAAGTTATTGTTTGGAACCGTTGTTTAGTTTTATTTATTTTTTTCAAATTTTATTACTTATTTATTACTTTGTTCTTAACTGGACCTGATTGATTGATTGAGCAGAACTAAATTTGCTCCAAATCGGATTCTTCGTAACTATGTAACAATTGGAGCTTTTTGCCAACAGGTCTTGCTTCATGTGAGATAGTTGGTAACACTTTATTTGAAGGGGTGTGAATAAGACTGTCATGACACTGTCATAAACATGACATAACACCTGTCATAAACATGACATAACACCTGTCATAAACATGACGTAACATCTGTCATAAACATGACATAACACCTGTCATAAACATGACATAACACCTGTCATAAACATGACATAACACCTGTCATAAACATGACATAACAGATGTCATGAACATGTATAAGCCTTCATGAATATTTATGACTGTTGTCATAAAGTGTCATTTGGTAAATTATGACACTTTTAATACAAAGTTGACATTATTCAAAATGTCTTTGTTATGACAACTTGATATTAACCAAGAAATCATTACTGATATAAATTTGTTATAAAAGTATTACTGATTGCACTTTAAAAATCAGGTAACTTTATGTTATTAAAGGTAAAGTTTAAACAGTAATGATTTATTGGTTAATGTCAAGTTGTCATAACAAAGACATTTTGAATAATGTCAACTTTGTATTAAAAGTGTCATAATTTACCGAATGACGCTTTATGACAATAGTCATGAATATTCATGAAGGCTTATTCATGTTCATGACAGGGGTTATGTCATGTTCTTATTCAAACCCCTTCAAATAAAGTGTTACCAGATAGTTTTATTTAAATTAAATTTATGCCCTTAGTTGTGCCTGCATTTCCCACAGTATTAGCTTTATTCTGAAAACAATAGTTGAGAGAGCATGTTTGAACGCTGGTCCCAGAGCAGCTTAGTTTCAGAGATTTCTCCTCTGCTCAAGTGTAGTATTCACTCTGGTTACTTTTAGCAGATACTTTCCATTTGCATTCAGTTAAGGTGCAAAAACTGACTTGGATTCATTTTTTTTTACCTTTCAGTTAAAACGTCTGACTGATTTCATTCTATGTTCTCTTGTAATCCAGCTCTTGGGAGTAGAAGAACTCTTTTTGGTGAATCGAGACGGAAAATTCTTGCCCCAGGTGGGTTTTCTGGCAGTGGTATTTGGGATTCTTTGTGTAACGTGGAATAATTCAGAGCTGACAAACAAAATTCACAAAATTAAATCAAATGGCTTATGGTTCACACCAGAGTATTTCCATTTTTATTCGTGCTGCTGGTGAAGTTATTTATGTCGATGTGTTCTGTTCTCTGGGCTGGTTATAAAACCACTAAGCGTACATGCAGCATTCACTAAAAAGCATTTTTATTTTGGCTCCTCAGTTGCAGAAAATAAATTTGATGATTTGTTTTCCAGTTCAAATAATAATACATCTAAAAATCAACGAATAAATTATTTAAATCCACCACACAGAGTCACAGAAGCTAATCGGCTGCAGTTTTTATTTTCCACGTCAGGTTTTGCATTCATAAAGCTGAATAAAGTGTCTTTCAGCTGATTGTTTTGGCTCTCCAGCCCCCGTGTTTACCCGGTTAACCTTCTCTTATCTTTGTTGCAGTGGGAAACATCATTTTGTTGTGCTCAGTTTAAAAATATAAAATTAACCCCTTCCTGGTTAAAAACCAGGACAAAACACTTTATGTGTACTTTTAATAAATAAAAAAAGAAAATCATTTTAAATAAAAAGAACAGAAAATATGAAACATTGAATGGGGATAGCTGAACACAAATATCAATGTTGCTACGCTAAAGTTAGCTTGAGCTTTCTCAGTTAGCTTAACAATAAGCTATCCATAAGAATGAAAGCTCACCTTCATGAAAACTTAACGTTTGACGAGCAGAAGTAAAACTGCAAACTGTGATGCTCTTATAAAGACATACAATTAGAACAATCCCAAAAACACAAGAAAACAGATTTTGTCATCGCTAATCCATGCTAACATTTAGCTTCTGATCTTAGACTTGTTGAAAATGTGAAACCAACCATTTTAAGTTCTAAAATATACACTCAGATTTAATGTCAAAAGTGTGTAAATAAAGAGGAATTTACAATCTAAATATTAGTGTGGTTGTACGTATGTTTTTGAGCCAATGAGGAGCAGAAAATGTGTCTTAGAAATTCAAGCCTTTACATTGGGTTCTTATTTTTAAAATTCAGTAAAGCCGCATCACCTTGAATCCTGACAAAAACTGGTTGAAATGCACCGACTCTGTGAAAATGAATGTGAAATTCATGTCAATGGGCTGATGTGACTCTGTGATCACACTTCAGCTTGAATTTGTCTATTGTCTTGTTGCGGCTGAGTCATATAGCTTATAGCTGCTCTCGTCTCCATGGTTACAACACTGGTTTTTAATAGGTTCAACCTCACTTGTATGAACTTAAAAGAAAGGTTTTGTTTTATTACTGCCTCTTTTGATGGCTAACTGCTGGAATTAGCGCTGTGAAACTCATTTGGACCAATTCAAGTGTCGCTGACCCGTCTCGCTCTCATGAAACTTTCCTGTAATCCCAGGCTTTTCTCTACGGTTTTACTGTAAGGAGAACTGAACTTCTTTTACATGGGCAAGTCCACACGCTCGCACTGTCAAGGACGGCGTCTTCCTGTATACAACGCTGTCCTCCCACACCGATGGGTCTCACATTTCAGTGTCTACTTTGAAAGCCTGTGGGTTGTTTGTGTTTTTTTCTTTTTTTTCTTTTTTTTTCCATAGAGTGCAGCAGGTTTTAGGAGACGGTGTTTATTTGCAAAAGGAGAAACCCTTCCAGAGATGTCAAATGTAGGGTCAGTTATAGATCGTCGCCTCTGAGCAGCCGTGCGTTTCATTGTCGTACATTTCTATTTCTGTGGCGTTTCAGAGCAGCAGGGAACCCCTTGGGAAAGGAAACGCCGAGATTTTAAATGCATTCCTCGTTTGAAAACTTTCTGTAATTAAATTAATCATCTTATTCAATGGCTTGCTGTAGCTAAGCGTGGAAATCCGTAAAGACACACTGAAAACGGCGGCAGTCTTCACTCAAGCAATGTTAATTACAAATTGATTCGAACTTAAATAACTCATTTCACCTCAGTTCAGCTCTTATTTACATCGTGATGTTTATTTGTGATCTACTTTGTAAACAAACCCAATTTTGAGGACAAGCACGCAAAAAACTCAGGTAATAAGTTCAAAATGGCAGCAAATTGCATTTTATTAAAGGTTAAATTGGATATTTGTGCTAATAACACAAAGGTCTTTCCAGAATAAAATCCATTAGTCTTAAATTACACCCCTTACAGGAGAGCTTATTGAGCTCCTCTAGAATTACTGCTGCTTTCACATCTAAGGTTTTTCTGCTCAAATAAAATATAAACCTCATTTTATTCGTTGCTGGAGTTACCCGAAGTATGACGGATATACAGAGCCAGTTTAATCAGAAAAAGTAGAAATGGCTAACCCTGAGATCATTATAAAGATGTGGAAAAAACTATCATAAAAGCCTTTAATTTCAATAGATTTATAAATTAGGGGGGGGGGGGGGGCAAAGCTTTAATAAATTGTTTCCCACCTCCAGTGATTATGGGATACAGATAGCCAGTCCAGGACAACACAGGACAACCAGCCATGCATATACTCACACCGTAGGGCAAACTGAAGTGACTAGCTGAACTGACATCTTGTTTTTGGACTGTGGGAGGAATCCAGATTACCCGGAAAGAACCCAGACGCAGAAAGGGTTTGAATCCAGGTTCTCCTTGCTGCAAGGCAGCAACACTACCAACTAAGATCAGCTTCCACCTCTGACAATTAATATGAAACAAATATAATGGAAGCATTTTTCATTTTCACCTTATTATTTGAAGTTAAAAGTTCATTGGTGCTACTAACTGTGAAATAAGTATAAGAACAAGTGTTAAAGAGGCAGTATTATGTATTTTCCAGGCACATAACACAATCAATATAATGCCTTGATTTTGGGCCTCTGTCTCTTTAAGAAGCTCTTGTTCTTTCTGATGCCTTCAGCATGACATCACAACAACGTTCCTCTAGAATTTAACGTTTTTACTAGTTTTTCACTTAAAAACTGGTAGTTTGAATGACAAACTCAGCAAGTGTATGCTAATAGCTGCTGCCGCTAGTCTGGAGGAGCCGTGTGGGGAAGTTGCAGAGGAGAGTTGGTCTCTGAAGTGGAAGTTCAGCTTGGAAACGGCATTTCTGAGGAGTTTCATGGAAAAACCTGTAACTCCAGGTATGTTGTTGATAAAAGAATAACACTATAGCATCATGTAAAGCTCAAGAATGTGGATTTTATGTACTGCCACTTTAAATTAGTAAGAAATTACTTTTTATTCATATTTTACCACTAAAATTCCAGGAAGTCTAATTTAGTAACTGTAAACTTGTTTTTCCCTTGTGGTGACAGAAATTGGAAAACAAAGGAGAGCAAAGCCTTTCAGGGAAGATAGATCTGTGTCGAACTGAACGCTCACCACGTCGCCCAGATCTACAGCAAGAAACAAATCTGGAAGGTTTATTTTAAAGCTGCTCTTCGCATCTTTTCCAGGAATGTCAACAATATTTGAGGACGCAAATATGTCGGGTTTTACTGAGGGATTAACCGAAGGAATTATGTTTACCGAAAACTGAATCAACGCTCACTCAGACTATTGTGTAAATAAAACCGACGATGAGAATTTAATGGAAGCAAACTTGCATGTTTATGGCATTTCAAGGTTCCCACCAGCACAAAGTGTTTGCTTTAGTATATCAATAATACGTTTTGAGATAATGCACATTTTGAGAGGGGAAAAAAATCTGATAACTTCTGTTGGCAGGGCTGAACATCGCTTTAAGCTCTTTATAATGAACAAAGCAGTCAACATTGGCTGGATGTTGCTGTTTAAAACACCCTGAGTTTTTCTACCTTCGAGCTGCTGGAACAAAACTCTCCACAGAGAAACTCGCTTTACATTTCAGGAAGGTGCAGATGAACATTTAGCCGTTTGCCCACAAGGAAAAGAAACTCGTTTGGAGGATGTGAGGCTTTCAAACCCTAAAAAGGCTATAAGGACAGTCGCGGATGGTGCTGGAAGCATCATGCTGTGGGCCTCTTTAATGCCAGAGAAAGCAGGCCAACATTAAGCTTGTGGAAAACCTTGAATCGCTTGAGAAATGTGCTTAAAAACTAAGTCAACGTCATTAAACATGACCAATTCTGCCAATAAGAGTTCTCAAATATGTTACATGCTACACATGCACATGCTTTTATTGTTAGTGACAATAAAAGCATGTGGTAAATGTCCAGCTGAGATTAGAAACCAAACAAAAAGCCCAAACAATATTTACATTTAGCAGAGAGTTGCAGCCTATTAAGGACTGGCTTTGAAACGGAAAAACTTCAGAAGCCAGGACAGAAATTGACATTTAGGGCTGCAAAGAACTCAACCACAGCGCTAAATGTTTATCCACAAATGCACAGTGAGTCTCAAACCCAGTCGTAATGCAGGAAGAAATGGAGTGTAATAAAGAGTTTAGAGTCGGAGAGAGAACATTTCAAACATTCGATCACACATTTTTAGTGGCTGAAACACAGACAGCTGTGGAGGCGTACCCAGAGGAAGAGGAGCAGTCGGGACGTTTGTACAAATCTGCTGCTAAGCTCCCAATTAGTAATCAGCACCTGGGAACGTCCTCTTATTGCTCTCTGGGGGAATTTGAATGTCTCTTTCAAATCTTGTTCCAAAGTTTAAAAGAACAGTGCGGTGCAAGCGTCAGGCAGAAACCCGAGGGGGGAACGTGACCAAGCCAAAGCGTCAGACAGAAAATTTACATTTAAGCAACACAATTAACCGAGACGCCGAAATGGAGTTAGATTATCTGCAGACCAGTGAAACTTTATATTCAGGGTTTAAATGAAATGCTGCAAAAATAGCTTTGCAAGTCAACAAGTAGCTTACTTGGAAGTGTTGGCAAAAGGTTTCTCACCGTTTGTCATGTTGCAGCAAAAATCTTTAATGTGATTTAATGCGATAGACTAACATAATGCAGTGCAGATTTATAGGATGATATTGGTCGTCTCAAGTCTTCTGCAGCCTCTAAGGTCTCCAATGTCAAGTCTGTGTCTAGTCAGTGAGTGTCTGATGATGTTTTTCTGTGTGTATATCAGAAACCTCTGGGTACATCTGGTATATATACACCAGCAGATTATACACCGAGGCGTAGCTTGCTATTTGTGACTTTCCTTCTGGTTTAGTTTGATTGGTTTGCTTGGTTTTAGTGAGATCTGAATAATAAATAATCAGACATGTATGTAATTTATTATTATACTGGCTTCCCACCAATTTATGATCTGATACTTAATTACATCACCCTGCATTTTTTTGCATTTTATGCTACAACCTGGTACCATGCATCTCTCTTTGTACATTGCCAAATGTTGTACAATATATTTTACAGTTTAAAGAGGTAAACTATTATTGTTTTCCTCAGGGAAGCCACTTCTCTTTCTCATCATGTGTGTTTGCGATTTACTCACTCCTCCTGCGTGACTCTAATTGCCTGATGTTTGGTTTTAATTTCTTTCAGAGCTGCTTTATTTCTGAGTGTTTCAGGTTTTTCTGATGTTTTTAATCAGCATTTTTTGTTCTGATCTGAAAGTTTACTCAATCTCGACTTCACAAAGCTTCTTCAGTTTCAAACGAGAACGAGGAGGAGGAGTGAGGGTACGTCGAGTTCTTGCAGAAGTTTTAGTTGTCGGCTCTCTTAACTCGGCTTCTAAGTCCTCTATGAGCTGCGAGGATTTACCTGATCTCGTTGGAGAACTCCCTATCATGGTGGCGTCTGTCCTCCAGCTTCCAGTACAGCACCCCAGCAAACACCAGTAAGATGAAGACGAGGAGAAGCGAGCCCACAACGTTCCCCCCGATCACTGCAGATCTGTTTGGATCTGTAAAACACATTTATTCTATCAGACTGCTTTTACTCTGCATCTGTTGCTGATGTTGGATGCTGTGAAATTAATTTCTAGGCAATAGAAACTCACTTCCCCTAATCTTTTTCTCTCTCTCTCGTCTAATCAAAGCGTCTAATGGCGCTGAAATGGATGTCAGGTATTCAAAGAGGATATTTGAGGTGATTTGTGGTGCGACGTCTCGCAGCTCAGAGATGTTTGGAATGAAACACGTTCTCAGGAATCTTACACCTTTGTCTCCACCTCGGTCATTCTTGCTTGCTAAGAAATCTCAGGCTCATAGCTAAATTGGGTCTGTTGATGTTTGTTGCTGCACAGCTGGAGGTCTGCTGCAGCAGCGGAAAATAAATGTAACACAGGAACTACACAGTTCTGGTGAGATGCACAACGTACATATTCATCTTTCTAGCTTTTAATGGTTTATCTAAACATTTCTCTGAATTTAACCACATAGTTTACATATTTAGAAGGCTGGACTTCATCTAAAAAATGAAGTAGCCCAGTGACAGCAGCTCAATTTCAACTGGGCTGCTGGTTTCAGTTTTTTTTACAAAATGGAGGAAAAACGTGTTTTGTTTTCACCGTTTGATTTAAATTTCTCTCATTCTAATAAGAGTAATGAAGTAACAAGTTAATAATCTGAATATCACATTACAGAGCAAGTCAATAAATTAGTATATTTTCACCATCTTTCAGGATCTTCATCTCTAAGTGAAACAGTGATGTATCTATTTTAATCTGGAACATACAGATACAGTTTATTTATTTATTTCAGAGCTGACGGTTGTTGTATTTGACCTATTGAGAGGAAATGCAGCCCAACAACCACTGAGCTCAAACACTCTTGTCCACACATCATTTCAGAACCGTTTATTGAAAAAAAAAACACTGATTCATAAACTGTGAAACTGAAAAGAAAAACGTCTCTAAAAAATCTGTTCATGTTTAGCATTTATTTAAAGAAAAAAAAATACTTTTAGACTCTAGTGGCCTTTATTGAGCAGTGAGTAGACAGGAAATGGTGCAGAGAGAAAAGGGAAGACATGCAGCGCCGCTCCACAAACTGAACCACTCAGCGCTGCATGTTCAGTGATTATATGTTAATCGTTTTCTCCCTTCAGATCTTCACAACAAAATATGACTAACAACTCAGACACTTTGGAAAACCTAGAAGTGATCCAATTGAAACAAAATGTATCTCCTCACTTTGGATTTTATTTACTGTTTTCCGTTTTGCAAACTCTGCTCTGTAACGCCATCCTGAAAGTAAAGCTCTAAACTGTTGGTGTCCAGCATGTGTGGGGTTTGCAAATATGTTCGCTGCCCTTTTCCTGACCCTAAACCTGTCTCCACAGACGTAAATGTTCATTACAGTCTGGTCCTGCTCTGTTTTGTGGATGAGCGAACTGGTTCAGAGGGACAGGAAGTGATTCACAGCAGCCACAGTGTTCGTATGGACGAGTGAGCCCTGGAAGTTCGCCATCATCTCCACAGTCCTGACTAGTTTAGCACCAGGTGGTTCTGACCATACTGTTAGCATTTGGATTAGCCCAAAACAGTGCTGTCATCTGTGATATTCAGGAGTTTCTCAGACGGTCCACTGAGGTTCAAAAGAGCAAAGAGAGAAGAAGAGTGGGGTGAGAACGCAGCCCTGGGTTACGCCGGTGCAGCTGGATGAGCTGAAGTCTTAATCCATAATACAGCTCACAAAAAAACATGTTCACCTCAGTTTGTGTTATTTATCTAAGATGTTCCCATAGCTTGGAGAGGAACGATGATCAGAAGAGACACAGAGACGTACGAGAGGGAAAAAAATAAAAACGCTATGCGGCAAACTCTTTCTATAATGTCCTGGTGATTATCCTGAAACCCCTTGGCGGCGTTCCTGAGCCGCAGGGCCGGAACCTCTGGTCTGGAACAGAAGCCTGCGCTTGAATCGAAAATGAATCATTCACCGCCCGGAGCCAAAAATCTGAGCGCTGAGTCAAGGAGCCAAGGACTCGACAAGATGTCAGCGTCGTAAGCTCGCTCCACGATTCAGGAGGCAGGAGACTGAGATTCCAAAACAATGTGTTTTTTTTTCACTAGAGTGTAAATACAAAAGAGATGATTTTTTTTTGAAATATCAGGCTGAATCACGGAGCGTACCTACTTGAGCTCTCAGCCACTGCATTCATCCCCACAGAGACACAGCCATGCTCTCCACCTCAGTCAGAGCTTTCTGTGTATTAATAGACTTATTGAACTCCCTCCTATACAGTCTTGTTATTTGCTGTAGTTTAAATGGAGGTTTTTCTTCTTTTTTCTGCTGCTACCTTTCCCTGCAGAAGATGGCAGATAAACGACAGGAAGCAGGCTCATTTTGGCTTTACTCTTCAGTGACTTTGTGACTCAGCAGCAAAGAGACACTGACATGAAACACAAGCAAGAACATTACATAAATACAGTTATTTCTAGACATTAAAAGCAACCTCTTACTGCCGTCATTAAGAGTGACGCACTCATGTCCCCCGAGCGCCACATGTAAGCGAAGTGGAGCCATGAGGAGGCTGCGGCAACGCTACAAAACAGGAACCTTAAATCAAAAAGGGGCCCCGCATGATTTTATGCAGGTGTGTGTGTGCGTGCGTGCGTGCGTGTGTGTGTGTTTTCCTCTTACGCTTGTTGGCTCTCAGGCTGATCCTGCAGCGTTCGGCTCCAACAGCATTGTTCACCTCACAAAGGTAGATCCCTGCAAAGCTCTGTGTGTGGTTGCTGATTCTCAACTCCCCGGTTGAGCCGTCTGTAACGCACATTGCCACATACAGAGATCTAATCCAGAAAACAACACCACTTCCCTGTAAACTGCTCAGATTTGTACCAATTTACATTTTCCGCCCCTCCACGTGATGAAAAATAATTTTTATATGGCTCACGTGCTCAGACAAACAACACTGTTGCTGCAGAGGGAGACCTTATATTGAGCGCTTTGTAGTAATTCCTTAATCTGGATTATTTCATTGAATCTCTGGTTGCATGTTTTGTCCTGTCTCTGATAGCCTCCTAAAGGTTTTTTCTGCTACTTTTTGCCTCTTCCAATTGAAAAGTGTCATCTCTGCATTTTTCTTAGATGTTAAGGTTGCATCCATCAGAATATCTCTACTTCATTTGTGACAAAAAGTGCAGAAAGAAATTCAGGTTTCTTCCAACAATAGCGTTCTTCTTCAATACGAGTCAAATTTGTGAAGTCAATAATGGGATTTATTCACAGGTAACAGAGTAAAGGAGCCACACCTAAATTTTATTTCTAGAGTGGCTCCTTCAGGTATTCGCAAGACATAGATTTATATATATATATATATATATATATATATATATATATATATAACAGGTTTTGAAGCTACCATGCCTATACACTAAAATGCTAAAGCAGCCAATCCAGGAAATGTGACGTATTTTCCTTAAAGCTGATTGGCTGTGCCCCCTCCACTCCAGCCCCTGGTAACGGAAGTAAGGAAAACTGTCAACGTTAGCTTATGTGGTAGCGCTAACACGGTTTGTGCATTGCTATGTGTCGGTCTATCACCAAAACCTCAACAAAATACACATTTTTTGATTCTAGCGTCAAATATTAAAAAAAAAAGACTCGAGGGGTGTGAATACTTTTGCGAGCCACTGTCTGTAGTTTGTGGCAAACAATGGAAAGAACAACTCGCTAAATCTGTGATCGGGACAAAATGCCAATGATATGCAGCTAATGCACCAAAGTCCACGGAAAATAATTGCACGCTCATCTCGAGAGTGCAAATTATTACTTCTTCATTTTTCTCCTGGATGACTCATCATGTCAATAATTTGTAAAAACCACAGTAAATCCCTTTTAGGAGAGAGTTAATAGGCAGCTATTGTGGAGTCAGGAAGACAATGGGTCCTTCGATTTTGTGCACAGAGGATCCAATAACACAGTGCCTCCTTTTCCAAACACACACACACACGCACACACACACACACACACACTTTGATGTGCAGTAACAAGATGACATCAACAGAGGTCAGACTTACCCTGTGTGGCAGCAGCAGGCATGGGGTCTTTGCTTTCTCTCCGCCACTTGTATGTTAGAGGAGTGGATCCTTCAGAGGACTCGCAGTGCAGAGAAACGGCTCCACCGACCAGCTCTCCTCCTTCCAGCCAGCAGCGAGGCACAGATGGTTTTACTGCAATCACAAAACCATCGGGGTATTTCCCGCATCGCCATTTCTGTCGCATTTATTTTATTTACAGGCAGGGTGAGTTGACGTGTTGAATAAAAAGGGGAACGACTGAAAAAGAGAGCAAATAAAGCAATACCTTTTGAAATATGCTCAATGAACTAAATAGTGCCTTCTGACAAGGAAAAGAGAAACAAATCCAAACAAAATTGTAGTTTGGTTGAATTAAAATAATATGAACAAGCCCTCTTTTTTGAAAATAATACCAAGCAGCTTAAAAATAATTTAATTCCAATCAAATCTAGGATCAATTTCTAAAAAATAAAACAATCTAAAAAAGAAGAAAAGTGAAGTGAGTCGTTACCTCGCAGTTTTCCTTTCATCGCTGTCTCTTTGAAACTGCTAGCTGCTTATGTAAGTTACCAGCATAGTGCTTTCTTCAGATTGTAAGCCTTTCATTACAAGTTTGATATTAAAGGTCAGAATGAGAGAAGGCGATGACTGCAATATTAGTACAACTATAGAAAAGCCAAGGCCTCAGATCTGAACATTTCCCTACAATAGCTGCTCTCATCCAAGGTCACTTCAAAGCATCGTTGCAGGCACTTAAAAAAAAAAAATATATATATATATATATTCTCCCTCAATGACTGTGTCCCTGAGTTTTAAAATATAGATATTTTCATGACCCTGACGTTTTTTCTTTGTCTTATTGTCTTAATTTGTCAAAGCACTGCTGAAAAGATTTTAAAACTATTTAAGAAATGCCAATTTTTCACATTTTGTGTGGGTGGATAAAGGCAACAATAGGAGAATAATCCCAGTTTTCAGTTATCAGCCCAGTTTTAGTAATTTGATTAATATGGATAAGTTTAAAAAAAAAAAGACCAACATTGGCCAATACCAATGTTAATGTCAATATTTATGCTTTTGTATATTTAGGCTGATGAAGTTTGGGATTGATTTTTAGTTGGTATTAAAGTTTCACAATAAAATTAACATTATAACCCTACTAGGTATTGCTTTATTAAGGTTATTTTTACAATAAGTCTCCAAAATGTTGCCTCGGACGAAGGCAGAACAAAACACCCAAAGAGGAAACACTAGCTAATTAAGTTTGAATCATTTTTTAAAAGATTGTTTTCATCATCATGCATGCAGAAGGAACTACAGTTGTGAACTGCAAAGTGAGTAAACATTTGTTTTGATTTGTCACCAGCTTATCAGATTCATTGGACCATTAAATGGAATGGTCTGCTTGGACTTGATAAGATTTCAGCCTGCCAAAATTGGCGATAAATATAGAAATATATTCATGTAGCAAATATTAGAACCAAAACAGAAGAACTTTCCTAACTAACATTCAATGTGACATACAGTAATATTATTTACTTATAATAAGGTCACTTACAGCAGAATTAGAGCGAAGAACAACAAAAATCGGGAATCTGCTTCCATCTGGACTTATTAGCACAACCTTAGCACCAAAAGTCCCGCTGCCTGTTGCCTTTAAGCTTATAAATAAAGTTTAACTTTTTACAAGCAGCAGGAAAAATGGCAGAACAAAAAGCAAAAATAAACTCTCTACTGATCTAATATTTATCCCTGCTTTAGAATAAGCTAACTGTTAGCACATCTAGCCACGTGTCTTATTGACCAGTATGTAAACTCCTGAAACTTAAAAGTTTTAATTTATTTTTCATCATTCAGTCTTAAATTGGCGCAAAGCATCCTAGAAGAGCATCTGTTGTACAATTAAAAAGTAGAAAGTTAAAAGTGAAATTACCTGGAGCTACAATTAGCAACGAAAATGGTACGTCTTGGAAAATAAAAATCTCTCCTAAACTTTTACTTGCAATAACATTTGAACACGTAAGTTATCTTGGCTTCATTTCCAGCAGGTTGGGTTGTGTGTGGCATTTGCTGGTAAGAAACTAAACGGCATCAGAGATAAAATAAAACGTTTTTGGCTTTAGCACTGTTAGGGAGGCAGACAGGAACATTTAAACAAACCAGCTGATACCAAATTACTTTTCTTTTGTACATTAAAGCAGCTCAGCAAGCTGCTAGGAAGTAAAAATATTTATTTGCCTAACTTTTTGTTCTCAGTCAGCTTTTTTCCACATCTAGTAATTAGACTGTTTTACATTTAGCAGCCACTCCTTTTACCTCTAAATGATCAACCCTCAAACAATCATGTCTGCCTCTTGCCTGCATTTGAGTCCTTCACAACCAATAATGACACCAAGAGCTTTAAAATTTATGGAATTGCAAACTTATTGCTTTTGCCATGTAAGTAAACAGGCAGATAATTACTGAAGTGATTGCTCAGTCATATTTAAGTGACAGAATTTCATTTTGTTCATTTCTGCATTAAAAATACCAGAATTTGAACTTCATATTTGAACTTCATATTTTTGTCTGTCCAGTTAGATTTTTTTAAATATTGGATCAGATCGCAAGATACATTTTGTTATTGTACAAGTAGGTTAAAGTAGTTCTGCTCTTACTTGAGTGAAATGACCAAATGCCACTGGTAAGTCGTGACACCTCTATTGTTTCTATTTCCAAAAAGAAAGGTCAAAATCTTGTATTTTCTTATTCTTGATAGCTTGTTCTGCAGCAGTAACTGTAAGTACTACTGGAAGACCCAAAGAAAGTGTTTAAGGTCACTGGAACTTCTTAAAAGACATTTAAACCAACATAATCAGCTAGTTAGCTAAAGTTAACCTGCCTGTTCATTGTGTATCATTTTCACTTCACATGATAGATGAACTTCTGTTGGTTCGTCACATAAACTCCCAGAAAAACACGCAGAAAAACGTTCAAAGAGGCTGAACATTTCTGTATTTTTAGCTGCCAATAGAGCAGCGCTGTGACATCTTAAAACACGCTTCCTTCACCCTGTCTCAAGCTCTATTTGTTAAGCGACTCCCATAAATAATGCAGCCATGTGACAGGTCAGTGTCCAGTCTTACCCTTAACCACCAGTGACACCTTGCGGGTGTCGACCCCAGGCGACTTCTTCACTTTGCACTGGTAGGTAGAAGTGTGGTTGCGTGACAGCTGAGCGATGGAGAGAGAAGCGTCGCCCTTGGAGGGATCGCCTGCAGCAAAGCTGAAGCCTTCAGTAACTCTAGGACCTCCATGGTGGTACTCGGTGCCGCCGGTGTACGACAGAAGCTGGAAAACAATACGAGAGAAACATTAAATCAAGCTTTAAAAAAACAACACTTGATTAGAGATGTAAATCCCAGCAGAACTGTAACTTTCTCTTTCTCGAAGCTCTCTGAGCTCATTGTTCAAGTTTCACTGCAAGTTCACTGTGGAGTCCAGCTTCTGCGCTCATGCTGGCACACTTCCAACCAGACAGCAGGGAGAAGTTTTCTCACAAAGCAGCAGTGAAACACCCAGTGTTCACCCTGTGCCAGTCAAACAAGCTGGAGAAAAAATTCAGCTAGATAAAAATACATTTTTGCTTAATTAGCTGGGAAATCTCAACACTCGTGGAAATCTGTGGGTCAGAACGCACGTCCCAAAAGGAATGCTAATGACTTTCTGTGAATTGCTGTGTTCCTTCTAATCTTTTTTAGATGCGCAGAAGGGCCCCTGTCGACTCATGTTTTAGAAAAGCATGCAAACTGTTATTTCTCAGAAATCTGCGTTGTTGAGGTTTTTCAAAGTCACGACTAAACAAATGCTTGGAAGAAAATCTACTTGTATATTTATATGAATCTTTTGAATGGTTGTACTCACTCCACTCATTTTTACACCTAGATTTTTATCAATATTCTCCCTTTAACATATTTATCCGTTTTACTTTTCATGCCAAACAACAACAAGCTGAATAAACTCATACATATTTTGAATCACTGTGAATGACTTTTGGCCCACTACCATTTGCAGACTTGTTTTATTCTGACTCATGAAAGGTCTATTTAAGTCATCCCAATTGAATTTAAGAAAAGACTTTGATGAAGTCACTTTGAAACCTTCTATTTTTGTCACTTAAGGGCTGGATTTAAGATGTGTTTTTGATAAATCTCCTGCTGCATGAAGAGCATTCTCTCTAGCTGTGGGTCAGGAACTGGTTGATTTTCTGGCAGACAACATAATTTACGGTTAAATCAATTTCTGGAAGTTGTCCAAAACACGAAAACAGAAGGAATCGGTATGAAATCTAATTCTTTTTCACAGAACTGCATTTTCAGAAGAGGGATGTTTTATTTATTACAGTTGGCTAAAACCATATTTTACTTTCAAATCTTAGAAATGCATAAATCTGCAAAATGCAGAGAAATAAACTAACTTTATAATTCCAGTAAATTTCAGATTTTTTTTCTTCATGCAAACTTCTAACTTTACAATGTGAAATAACATTTTATTTTGGTAAATTAAAGTTATAACTATATCTGTGTTTGTAATAAATAAAAATTGTTTTAATTCATCTGGAAACTTCTGCTTTTTTGGTGAAAATTGATTGCACTTTAAATATAACCATAGTCTGACTGACTTTGGGTATTAAAATGAAAGCACAGCCACTTCACATCAGGACAAGCTTTTTAAAAGCAGAAAAATGGCTAAATTACAGTGTTTTAGGATTTGCACTCAACATTTTTTTTTACAGCTGCTTGTGTTCTGATTCTTAATAGGGAGAAATCTTTTGATTTTCTAGCCAAATTTCTTAAAATCCACTTGGATTCAGTGTCAGAGATGCTTCCTGGAGAGAGGAAGGCAGTTTAAAAGAAAGATTGTGATGGATTGGACTTCCAGCTGCATGCAAAAGCTGAACAAACACATGGGGCTCATATTCAACATGTACTGAGATAAAGCACTTAAGGTTTTAGTGAGTTAATATTTTTTCTCAACAGAATGTAAAACCAAAAATGAATAAGAAGAAAAGAATCGTTTTCCTGAGTGCTTTGTTGCTTTCAGGACGATTCTTTACATCATCTTGCATCTTACCATCTGATCCTTCTTGGTAGTGTCTGGACTGAGCACAGACCATTCAATGTCAATTTCTCCGGTGTCCAATAAGCTCGGCATGTAGCTGCAACCCAAAGTCACGGAGTCGCCCTCGGCCCTCTGGACGGTCTGCGGGCCTGTCGATGTCACCTTCAGCCCTCGTGTGCATCTCAGCTCTGCAAGTTCAGGCCGTTCTTGAGATCAAACTAACATTTTAATTTACTCTTTCTACTACCAAGGGTAAATGCTGTCCTCTTTCTGATTCACCGAGCTACAGCTTGTTTCTATGCTCCATTCAGGCTGTTTGGTTACCGGAAACGTGGAAAACAAAAGCCCTCAAAAAGAAACAAGATCAGCCAAACAGGATGTGAGAATGTGGTTATGAGTTTTTCAGGGGTTCAAGAACATTTCAATAAGAGTGTTCATGGAGCTTTTTGCAAAACCCATTCTATTCATTGCATTGTAACAACCATAAGGCCCTTTACAACACTGTAATCCTCACAAACCCTTGAAGGTTTCAACTATTTCAAACCTTTCACAACAGAAAAAAGCAAAAAAAAACAAAACAAAAAAAACGAAGGGTTCAAAACCAGAGCTGGAAAATTAAACCCCTCTCTCTGAACCCACTCAGATGATGCAGAGGCTTTAAATCCTGAAACATTCATCTTATCAAAACAAATCTAAGTACAGATAATGGGAGAAGCTTGAATTGGGCTCCAATTTGCCCTTTGGGAGAACGGAAGATGAGACTATAATTGAGCTTTTCAGGGATTTCAAGTGTACTGTTTAGTATTTTTGTAAAATCGGCCCATAATGCTTTTATTCCACTCTGTACGGGTACGCTTTGTCCTAACATGCATGAAATGGAGCAGCATTTTAAATAAAATACCAATGTTTATGTGTAGCTCGGGGGACACCAGTGAGACTAAACGTGCTGCTAAGAGCCACACTCTGAACAAAGCAAGCACAGACTTAATTTTAAGAACAATAGGGAGTTGGAAAATCATTTCGGAAGAGAACATCGGACCTTGTTGGAGAAGCTGTGGCTGCCATGGTGATGTTGGGTAAACTCGGATCCCCTGAGGCCTCACTTTCAGCAGAGAACAGATACGAAGGTCATTCTGATTGCTTCTTTCAGACTCACAGAGTGGAATTGAATTTAGAAAGTTAAACAATTTTCACCTTACAGTGGATTGTAGAAATATTCACACACTGAGTTTTGTCTTTTAAACTGCAACCAATGACTTTGGTATATTTTATTGGGATTTTATGTGATGGACCGAGAAAAGGTGGCACATAAATGTGAAGGGGAAGGAAAAGGACAGATGGTTTTACAATATTTTTTGTGATGTACTCATGCAGTACTTTGATACCCAAAATTACTGCAAATTCCAGACCAAACAACAGGAATTAAAGGGCTCATATTTGGAAAAGTCCAGGTCTGTGTAAAGCAGCTCATATGGTTGCCAAGCAAAAACTCTGGCATGGATGAAATTTGGTGAGGCCACACAGAACGACTTTGAGAAAATTCAGGTCCACCATCTGGCATCACAAGAAAGGGAAGCAGTGCACCGCCATGATGGTGAGGAAATGGTGCTGTCTCCAACTTGGGACATTGTGAGTCACAGGGCAGAACACTTCCTTCAGTGAGGAAGTGGAATCTGGTCACTTCACGGCCCATCTGTCCGCCCATCCATTGTCTTGCCCTCAATCTGGGGTCAGGTCACCAGGAGAGAAGATCTAGCAAAAAGCCCAAACTTCCTCCTGCCCAGTCACTTGGACCAGCTCCTTTGGGAGATTCCCAAGGCTTTCCCAGGCCAGCCGAGAGACAAGTGGTCCCTTCAATGTTTCCTGGGTCTTTCATTGGGTCTTCTCCTGGCTGCTTGTAACCACAACCTTGTTTGTTTGGTCACTACCCAAACTTTGTGCCCACCAGTGAGGGTAGGAACATGGATTGGTAAAGATTCACCTTTTAGCTCTGCCCTCACTTCACCAAAAGAGGCTAGTAAAGTTACTGCATCACTCCCCAAGCTGCCTCCAAGCTGGAAAGTATGCACTACACTTTTCCAGGAGAAGACGATGGGCTTGGCTTTGGAGGAGCTAATATTTCATCCCGCCTGCTTCACACTTGGCTTCTTGATTTAGATTAGCTTTGAAATCTACCCAAACAACGCTTATTGGAAGAAATATTCAGAGGTCCATCTGATGTGAACAAGTAGCACCGCAAAGAACAAAGACCAAAGCAGAAAGAGAAAGAGTTGGGTTACAAAACTACATCCCAAACAAAGCTCTGCTCAATCAACCAAGAACAACAGCAAACGTACAAAGATGTGGCGGTCAACCTGAACCAGTGGTGTCCAAAGACAGTCATGGTTCATTAGCAGGACTCTGGAGTCTTGAGGAGGAAGTTTAAGCATGTACAGCTGGTAGGACACTGACCTTTGAGGACCGGAGCTGGACACCCATGTCTTAAAGACTACAAAAGCCCCTTGAAGGCAGAGATTCACATTCCAGTACGAGAATGACCATGAACATTCATTTGGAGCAACAACAAATTAGATGCTAAAATGGTCCAGTCATACAACAGACCTAAATCCAATTAAGAATTTGTGGCAAGACTTTAAAAACAATGATCAATGACAACATGAAGAATGGGTGATGTATGGTCTCTGTTGTAGCACATAGAACAAGGAAAGGTTCAGGTTGTGACAGAATTGCTGCAAGGCACTGTTAGTTTGTGTGCAAACACATGAATTCACATTGTTGTTTTGCCTGTGGCCATACCTGTGCTCATGAGCACCGCAGAGCATAACAATAACCAAGGTGGACAGCAGAGGTTCAAAGGTGTCCTCAGGTGAGAGCAGCTCTGTTTGCACGTAATCATCCTGTTTAAAATAGAGCAAGAAGAGCATCTACACTTATAGATCACAAATGAAACCCATAACCAGTACAATGTGATTAAAAATAAAAGATATCATACCTGAAAAAGGCTACATCCAAAAAGCTGCCCATGGAGAGCAGAGGAACAAATGAAGGTGTAGTGTTACTCCAAGAAACTCCTCCTTTCCTTCTGGTTCAGCGACAAAATGCCTTCTGATTGGTCCAGTAATTTTCATTTTTCACCTTACCTTAGCCAAACTTTCTATTAAATCTTGCATTTTAAGCCAAATTGTATTGAAATACAGTAAAACCAATTAATTGGGTATTTATAAAGCATGGATCCATGTGCCTAAATGTCAGTCTTTGTTCTGACAAAGACGTTAAACCAAAAATGCAAACAATAGGTAAAATACCTCTAATATGCAGAAAATATACCTGCAAAATTCAGTTTATATCTGCCAATTACCCACCTTTGTTTACTTTTTTATGTAGGTGTTCCTCTAAGCTCTCTTCAGACACTAATCCTGTCTTTATTTTCTCTTTTCATTTTATCAACATGACCAGAATATTGATAAATAAATAAAAAAAACCTTCCCTTGGAAAGAAGAAAGCATCTGCAATCCTTTTTTTTTTGTCTTGGATACACAATATACCACATCCCAGTGACAGACCTGTTATTAAGCAGACGCTTTTAAATGGTAAGAAGGAAAACAAAGACAAGATCTTGGGCAGCAAAAGAAAACAACCCAACAACAGGTTTTTCAGGCAAAAATACAAAGCAGCACAGTTCATATACAATACAAGAGTTTCTGAAAGAGTAGATATATTAATAATAGACTGCTGGGCTTATCTCTGCGGCACATCTACAGAAAAATCGCCTCTATAAATCAGATACGGTGGGGGATCTTTCAGAAGACACGCACAGAAAATGGATTAGAAATAGAGGATAAGGAGCTTTATCTGAACTCTGAGCTGCATGTAAAATATTGGACACTTTCTCCAGTTGTCAGCTCGTGTTTTTCACAAGCTTCTGAAAAACACTTATGTTTATTGCCACCAGTTTATGAAGCAGGAAAGTAAGCAAAATCTAAAACTGTACCAAAACCCTCGCTGACCTCTCCTGTTCGTTTTAAACTTTTGTAAATAAAACTACAAAAGTCGTGGATGGGTTCGGTTGAAAGAAAATATTTCAGAAATCCCAAAAACACACATTCTTCTCTTAAAATGTATCAAATTTGTTTTCCTTAAAAAGGGTTTTTATACGTTTCCCACATAACCATGTAAGCTTCAGTTGTTATGAAAATACTGAATACATAAAAAACAATTTAAAATAAATTTCTCTTTGCATCACTGTTTTAAAATTGGTCTCTGTCTCTTTAAGAACTCTTGCAAAGCTCGACCTTCAGCACATCGTCACATTAATACCATGTGTGAAATTGATATAAATCATAATAATATATTTATTAATTTAGAAAGACTAAATACACATTCACTCAATCATTTCAGATATTTTTTATTTATTTTTGTTAAACCGGTATGTCAGATAAAATCCTGATGAAATGTCTGTGTTTTGAAACCCAATAAAACTAAATCACACTTTTGTAAAACAGTGCGTAAAGAGCACTTTCTTAATTTTAATAAATATTGAATAGGTAAAGCTAGACAAACTGGTCCTTGATTATGTAATGGTGTGATTAGTTGTTGGCTCAGATTTCCTTTCTTTCAGCGATTATAGTGTGTTACACAACACCTTTCAAGTTAGACCTTTTACATGAAAAGCTTTGGATATAATAACCTTGTCCTCCATCATTTAAAACATGTTATTTCACCTCTTCCCAGCAGGATCATTTTTCTACATGACTCAGATGAGAATTGTGGGGGAAAGGAAGAAATTAACGTATAAACTAAAATGTTTTTTTTTTCTTTCTCTAGTTGCAAAACACAACAAAACACTAGCAGCTTATTTATTAATGAAAACTCCTCAACATGGTTCTGAAGTGCAGTGTTATGCAAGTCACTCAGGCCGAGCTTGATAATCTCTCTGACAGAGAAGATATGGGAATAAAATCTAGATTAGTCTGTCGGTCCACTGAGGCGAACGCGATGCCAAGTAGGAGGAGTTTGCATATGAACTGCTGCACACCTAGATGAAGATAAACAAGAACTTTATTGCCATTGCGGAGCACAAAGAAGTTGCTTATTTGGTAGCCAAAGGTGCACAAAAAGGACTTCATGCAAAATAAACAAACGTAGTTCATGGAAATATCATAAATGAATGTACACTGTGGTATGTGTGTAAATATAAAACTTTTCATCCA